GATAGATCCCAGAAGCGTTTGTTAGCCGCACTTGTGTCCACCGCTGCTACATGTAAGTCACTATCCATGCAGATGACAATACTGCAGACAGCTCTAATAAAATCAGTCTCAACACTGGCATCAAATATTTATTTCCCTGCGGTGCCCTCCATTGCCCAGGGTTTGAATGTCTCCGTTGAGCTCGTCAACCTTTCGATTACCGCCTATCTTATCTTCCAAGGCATAGCGCCTAGTCTCTGGGGACCGATTTCAGACGTTAAAGGTCGCCGAACAGCATACATCGGTACCCTGTTCGTAGCAGTCTGTGCATGTATCGGCCTCGCAGAGACTAGGAACTATGCTATGCTTGTCGTTTTCCGATGCTTGCAGAGTACTGGATCTGCTAGTACGGTTGCTATTGGATCAGGCGTGATTGGGGACTTTACTACCCGAGAAGATCGTGGGGGGTTCATGGGAATCTTTCAAGGAATGATGTTGATTTCCATTGCCATTGGGCCTGTTATAGGAGGGGCACTTGCAGGGTCGCTTGGATGGAGGACTATATTCTGGTTTCTCACTGTTTACAGCGGGGTATTGCTTACCATGATCGCTCTCTTTCTTCCTGAGACGTTACGGTCTATCGTGGGAAATGGTGCTCAACTTCCCTCGTCAAGGATCGGAAGTTATCCCCTTACACTCTACCAGCGCTTCACCAAAACAAATTGGAGCGAAAGTGCAGCAGATAACCAGCTGGCCCCCAAGAAACGAACTGACCTTTTAGGACCCATCCGCATCTTGATCAGCAAGCAAGCAGCTCCGCTGGTACTTTTCTTTGCTGTATACTTCGCCGTCTGGCAAATGACTATCACGGCTATGGCAACCCTTTTCAAGGAACATTATGGTTTGACAGAAATTCAATCCGGATTAACCTTCATCGCCAATGGTGCAGGATCTATGGTTGGAACCCTCATCACGGGTAGGATCCTCGATAAGGATTATCGCCGTATCAAAGAACGACATCTGGCAGAAACAACACTCTCAGGAGAAGAGAAGGTTTTTCCACTTGAACGAGCCCGTCTACGTCTGGTTCCTATCTTTGCTGGTCTACAATGTCTCTCAGTCATGCTATTCGGCTGGACTGTTCAATATTCGTCCCATGTCCACATCTCCATTCCCATTATCTCATCGTTTATAACTGGATGGACAGCTGTATCCAACCAATCGATAGTGACAACCTATCTAGTGGATGTATTCTATGATAGTAGTGCTGCTGCAAGCGCAAGTTTGAATATGGCACGTTGCTGCCTGGCTGCCGGGGGCTCGAGTTTTGTCATGCCCATGGTGAATGGTGTCGGATGCGGAGTGGCTTTCACAATATGTGTTGCAGCGCAGATTTGTGCGAGTGCTGGCCTAGTGATACAATTGAGGTATGGTGGTCTCTGGAGAAATGAGATGGAGAAGATGTTGAGTCGGTGAGTCGGTGAGTGGCATGGCTACTTAGTCAAACACTGCTTTGCAGCATCCTGTTCTACACAGAATTCGGTCATAATATAACGTTGCGTACTGCACAAGGGCTTTACGCCTTCTTCGATAAGCCTAGGTAGAGGTCCGTGGGTGAATAATACTGGTGGTCGTTTTAAATGCTATTCAATACTTTTTTTCCCGTTTCCAGAGCTGTTCGAGCTATAGGTGCGAGTAGCTTAAGTAAAAGCTGCCGAAAACCATCTTACCTGTGTCTGGGACGGCGACTTATCATGTAGAAGGTCCGATACACACAAGGAATACGCCATATGTTGCAATGTCTCATGATAATAGTATTATAACAGTCGTGTTATCTTCTCTCTCTATGTAAAGGTTATCTTATCTCTATTTATTATTCATGTAACACACAAGACTAAGCTTACATACAGGTATACGTTTCACTTGCTTTCGTATGTAAATATCTAGTTCTCTCCTTTCCATGAACAACAAGGATATACTCTAGATTTAGGACTTGAATAAGGTTCCTAATGGTAATTTAAGGTGTCATATGACATATAAAGAATTTCTATATGAGCTTAAGATTACCGGATTGCACATTGTCGCCAAGCACCTGGTCACAGATGGAGTAGGATGCATGGTGTATTGTTGAATTGCATCAGATAGTCTGTTTTAGATATCGCATTTTACGTGCTATGTAATGAGAGTATTCTAGCACAAGCTTCTACGAGAGTGATACTTCGAAGATGTAGCTCTTGGTTGACTACTTTTGCTCTCTTTCCCCTCTCTGATAGACTAGTCAGCCCCTCTAGTGAATCAGGGCAGTCATATTTTGGCAAACATACGAATCTCATCTTGACCAATCCCAGAAATCAGGAAAACCCCCCCCACAAAGTAAAGGACCGATGTTTGAACTCTAAACCGTCATTTTATGCGTCGCCATAAGTGAATCATAGTGTATATATGCTTGTTGGAGATAGATACCTTGCATTCGTACGTGACCACAGACAGATGCGACGAAGCCAGAATGTGCCAGGCGCGCCTCGTCGATCGCAAGTTCATGAGGCGATTTGAACTCGATCAAGATAATGACAGATATTACCATTATATCTCCGAATTTTCTCTGCCATTCGGAAGAATGTAAGTTTTTCAACCAGCATACACGCCAGGTAGTGGCTGTATACGTTCCGTAAGAGCGTATCGTTCTTTTCCCGATGCATTGGCACATGATTTTTGGATGTTTACGCCGGTTATCTACCACGCAAATTAAGTACCGCACCGGAAACGTTGGATGTTTATAACACACACCGTAACGCCAGGTCAACAGGTGTAATAAACCTCTGGGCGAAAGGGTTCACGACAAGGGACCGGAATTTATTTCTGTGTATCGATTTAGAAATAAACCTGTTTTCCGCGATCTCTAACTACGTTTCCATGGGTTCTCACGACTTCAACATCTTCTAGTCACCTAGCATCGATCCGACCGACTGTCTAAGTAATGATACATGTTGCGATTCGTAACCCAACATCCTATTTTGCCTCAATGGGGTCATAAACTCCTCCCAGTGATCTATAATCTTTCCATTGATTGTGACACGAAAGTTCTTGTACTCATGCTCACGATCGCTATTCTCCCACCGCAAGAAGTAAATTAGACACAGGGTGCGTTGACCTTGGTAGAGCACGGGTCGATCGAGCCATCCGTGCTGCCAATCCGTTAACCCTGCCAAGGGGTACACGTCGGAGCCAATCAGATTCCCTAGATTAAAAGGGTTTGTGCGGTTCAGCTCCTTAATATGCGTGCCTGCCAGGTCCTCTGGAAAATACACGGCCATGAGCTCGTAGTACTCCATTGGGCCAACATACTGAGTCTGGAACACACCGTGATCGAATGCGGCCCCCAGTGTCTGGGAGAGGTCGATCAGAGATACTTGTACCAATCGTTCGGAAGCCCAGGTGGCAAGGATCTCGGTGAGGGACTGGTGCTCGGCCGAGTTGATGAATTTGTTTCTTATATCGGCAGAGCCCCAGGCTGGAAAAAAGAAAAAAGAAAAAAAAAACGTCAGAAAATCTTTTCCTCGGGTTCCTGACAATCATACTCATTGAGGTATCTTGGGAAACTGACCTAGCATGAGCCATTCAGTCTGCGGTCTTTCCACCGGGCAAGATCGTCGAAGCGTTAGATAGTACCGGTAATCCGATTGCTCGAAAATAGGTTGGAAGAGCCGAGTGATGGGATCTGATGGATCCTGATATGTCGCACTTGTACCTGGGTTCAATACGATCCAATCGACTAACTTGGTGTTTCGTCCGGTTCTATGCGGCTGCCTCAGAGCGAATGGTGACGCATCGCGGGAAGCCTCGGGCAAGAAATCAGGGAATTTGTGCTTCGCCTGCGCTCTGGTAATAGGGGGCATTGTGTGTGGGTGTGTGGGTGAAAAGCTGAGAATGTTGGAGGAACTAAGGTGGGCAGCAGGTGGACCATGTTGGACGTATCTATTTATTATCAAGTATCATCTCAACGGAAAAGGGGAGGTGGGGGGGCGGTGGGGTGGGCGATGAAACATTCGACCCGAAAAGCTTTTTGTACGGACTCCCAGTTAGTACTTCTGAACTTTGGGTAAAAATGACCGCTGGAAGGAATACTACGGACTACTAAGCTCACACGCTAATCCAGATTTGTTCAATAATTACACCCCAGCTAGGGAGTACCAAAGAACAAGCTAGTGGTATTGAACCCACAAGGCCAAAAAGGCATTCGTTGCCCGCAGTTACCTGCGAACTCTTGATATAGACATGTACACACACGGTGATTATATCAACAATATAGATTACGATAATAAATGATACAAGCACTTCTATAAGAATGAAGGAGAAAATCCAACGATTAAGAATACTTTGATATATATAATCAATGTATTATATTAATATTTACAGACTGAACTTATTCATAACTATATGCTGTTGATATTCTCAACCTAGATAATTGTCCTATTCCACTGGTCATGTATTCATCGAAGTAAATGATAAATGCCCTTGAAAACGTTCTCCCTCTACAGTGGCCCAAAATAAATGGAGAGAAAAGAAAAGAAGAAAAGAAAACAACATGAATAAAACAAGCACTCACGATATAAATAAGACAAAATATGAGACAAACAATGAAATTGATATTACTGTATCGTCGATACATATGAGAAATACACATAAACTATTCACGCAATCACACGAAAGAGAAAGTGAGACTATTTGAATGAATGACTGTACAAGATCCGAACGATGATGATAAGATTGGGTCCCAGGCAACACATCATCGAAATGGGACGATACATTTCTTAGATACCAAATACAGATAGATAAAGCAGATAAAGCTTGAACAGCAACTGAATACAGTAGCATCAAATAAACAACAAGCGGAAAAGAAAACCAATGATTCGGTGATGGAAGGGTCTGACAGACACGCACATGACAGCTCACCGACTTCGCCCCCAAGAGTCCTTGAACACAGTGGCTGCTAACCCCCGTCCTTCAAGCTGGCTTGTCACTTACTGGGGGGTGCCCACAGCATTCTGCACTGTTTTGTAATTAACAGCGTGTTGAGGAAGCTCCGAAGCCTTTGCCTTGCAAGTTGCCATCAGGCCAAGATGACCTGTTTTACCTAACATGGCTTTGGGGATTCCCAACTGGTACACAGCATCATCCCCGGAAATCTTGGATAGACGAAGTGTCTCATCTGGCGTCTGATACTCGACGGTCTTGAGGTAGGAATCGATACTGTCCGGATGATACCAAAGTTTCTTTCCGTCGTACGTCTCCGGGATCCAAGCCTTTTTGGCGGTGAGCCACTTGCTTTGCTCGGCGTAAATGACACAATGCCTAGTCCATGGGTGTTAGCCGAAGCGGAAACATGGGGGTTTTTCAGTCCAGCGTCAGCCCTTATCAGTAACTGTCTGGAGCTTTCCATTCTCCAGGAGCGGGTGTGAGGTAGACCACATCGCCTAGCTGAACCCCGCTGGCTGTATACCAGACGACAGTCCCCTGTTTGTTATACGCTTCGGCTTTCGACTAGATGTTGTTACATGTCAACTTAACGAGCTGCAACAAGCTGCGGCCGGGACATACCTTTTCCATAGTGCGATAGCCGATAATGACTTTCTGGTCGCGCTCCACCAGATCGACTGGCGCTGAAGCAGCAAACCCGAGCACGGCCAGGGCCACCATCAGGGTCTTGGTAGCTGAAAAGAGCATGATGTAAGGAGACGACTGTGTGACTGAATAAACGATATATCGACTAATATAAAAAGCGATGGCATGAAACGAGAGTCTTTGTCTATTATGGCTGCACCGGGCAGACTGGCTGTTGTTAAAGAAAGTATGGTTGCATGATCGAACGTTCATGCGTCGCATGCTGCTATTTAAGTTCCAGTGAGCTGAATACAACTTTCGCCGACGTACCTATCTGTGTTGCTATAATGTACTTCCTTAGCAGTCATGTTCAGGATACATGGGGCTAGAAGTGAGACATGATAAGCTGGGGGCCAATAAGGCAAGCCCTACCAAAGAGACATGTTGGCGCCTGGCGTTCAGATCTATGAGCATTGTTGGTTTGAGGCACTCTTAGGACAACAGGGTTCCATTTGAATTAACTGGGAGGATGAATTTTCCCTCACCTACTATTTACGTGTCTTTCAAAGTTGTATGTCGGACCTCAGAAGATTCCGCAGATAGTTAGTGACAGTATTAAAGTCAACGGCTGTGGACGCCGTGTAGTCTTAGAGCTGTGAAAATAGCGAGCAGAGTAATACAGAATCCTGGCCCAGGATATGGTGTCGACGGAAGCCTCTACGCCAACCAACGAGCTGCTGGCCGGGCAAGGGACTGTCACTGCTGGGGCCAACAGCTGAATGCTTCTCTAGATGGTATCAATTTCTGGCGGGCAGTCCTAGAGAATAGGCGTACAGATGCATGTTATAATTAGCAGGGTGAAGGATTGACAGGCCATGTACTCCGTAGATGCCATGGAAAATGGCTCACGCACGGCCCCCACAAAATGTCAAACCGGCCCCCAAATAGTTAGTCAATTGATGTGCTACGGAAGTGCCTTGTCGCCTTTGTCCCAACGCGGACTAGCGGGACCCTGATGTTCCGCCCACATTGAGAATCGCCGAGAAAACGGTTCCTCCCATCATCTGCCCACCTTTTTGTCGACGCATTCTATCATCCCACCACTACGCAGACGCAATTATTTCCAGTGAGCCATATTAGGTGAAAATCCCCTGCGAAAGCGTTAATGCCGTAAGAGTCAAAAGCTGTCGAGTTCAATAAACAGCGTCAATGACCTCGCCCGTTACAGTCCGTTCCATCCTTTGCGAAGGGCCATGGGTCTGGAATGACGGCGCAAGTGAAGTCACCTTTCACGAGAATGGAACAGGCAAGGTGAGCTTGACGACTAAGGCCTCCCCTGTCCCCATCAGTTGACTTTTGTCATGCAGCTGTTCTGTTCTACCGAGTACACCTGTTGGATTTTTGCCGACATTGACTGGAAGCCGCACAATCCTGCGTGTCTCGATCAGGTCATCGATCTCGGTAACAATAGGCAGCAGCCGACGATCCTCGAAAAACTTACTATCGAGATGACCCTCACGAAGCGTCGACCACCCGATATTTGGTGGAAGGGCAAAGTCAATGAGGATTGGCTAAATGAAGAGGCGTTTCGCGCAAAGACATATCGTATATCGCTGGAGCACGGGCGCTTTAGGAACCAATTCGACGTTAAGCATAACATTTTGGATGGCTCACTATATGCGCTGCGCATAGTTTTTGACCCCTCGCCGTTTCCGCCGGACGAGGAGTGGAATGACGAAAGTTACGGACCCCATGCGATGAGACTCTGGGAGTGTACAGAATTTAACGCTAGAAGATATCTCAACGAAAGACTGAACCTATGGGAAAAACTGATGGCTTGGTGCAATGATTGGATGAGGTGATTTAATAGGAGAAAATGGGAGGCCATTTACTTGTACAGTAGATTGATTCCTAGAAGTACTCCTATGTGAAATCCGACTTTCCTAACTCACGGTACTCGGAATATAATAATATAGTTGTGCCATACTAGAAGTGATCATCTCATGGTTTTGTGTCGAACAAACGGCGATCTTCATACGCGGTTCGGTTGGGTTTTAAAATAACGCAAAGGAGCAGAAGTCGGTCAACCACAGAGCCAGCTCTAGTCGTACTGATTGATGCTGGCTTATTGTACCGAGGCAAGTGTTACTGTCACTCTACCGCCAAATTACAGGCCACACTATGGTGGCCAAGAATATTGAATGCACCGTGAGGGTTGGGCTAGACTTTGGCTGCTACTGGGCATACCCCACCTAACCTGGTATACTAGCGATATCAGAATGGGTACGGCGGTGATTAGCAGCCATCGGGTAGTTGGGGCGCGTCTCCGGAAAGGCCCATCGATTTCTTGACAAGTCAAGAGATCGACGTCGCAGCAATTCGAAAACGGGCGCCGCCACATAAACTTTTATGAACAGGATCACAAATTGTGTATGGCAGGGACCGATTCAATAAAATTCTCTCTGCTCCTCAACAACCGCCAGCCGCCCGAATTCCAGATGTGTTACCTAAACAGAAGATCCCTCCCCTATCAAACAGGAACCGCCTCGAATAACGCATTGGATCCAGTTCCCTGAAAGCCCGACCGCCATACTTTGACTACCCTGAATTGAGCCTTCTCTAATAGTCCCAACCACTGCCTCTCTATCCGTTCCAGTGATCCATAGAGCTCCATCATAATGATATCCATTGAGGATGAAAACCCGGGTGCATTCATCTCGGGCAGGACATTCTCATTGATCAGTAGCACTGAGTCAGTGGCCATGGCATCATGAACACGCCTAAGAACCTCCAGGGCCTGTTTATCAGGCCAATCATGTAAGACAGTTCGCATATAGTATGCTTTCGCCCCTTTAATGGGTTGTGGGTCAAACATGTTATGGCCCATGGCTTTCACACCTTCAATGAGCGGCTCTTGGATGTCCTCAATGACCTTTGGAAGATCCTGCACGATTAGCTGGTCTCTTATCTCGGGATGCTTGCGCTTGAAGCCGGAAAGGTCGTGGCCCTTGCCACCGCCGATGTCCACCAGGAGGACACGGTTTGGGCCACTGGTAGTGACCAGCTTCTCCTGCCATGGATAGTAGTCATACCATTGCACACCTTCCAAGGAGCGATTGCCAATCTCCATCACTGTGTTGAAGGCATGTAGCTCCTCTGGATTGTGCTGTATCCACTCAAAGTAATGTTCCTGTGTCCCGAAGGCAAGCTGGAAGGTCGTGTCGTAGGCATCTTGAGGGTTACGGTATCCCCTTGCCTCGAAATAGTCATAGGAGTGTACCGAAGCCTTCATGTCCGAATGGCTTCTTACATATGAGCCACAATTATTTTCCATTGAAGGACGGCAAAAAAAGACCTACAAATGTTTGATGACCTCACTGGGCGGACTACCAGAAGCGAACATGGTTGCTAGCGGCAGCGCCCGGTATTTCTCCACCCCCGTCTCTTCGAAGACGTGGTTCGCACACAGCACCCGCATGATACGCACTGCAGAAGCGAATGATCATTAATATACATATCCTACCTATCAGGGACGTATCTTCATGGAGAATAAAAAGCAATGATATAGAAATCAAACAAAAAAGGTCGTGACCACGGAAAAAACCGGAGAGGACCTTTGAATCCACAATATTGTTCCAATAGGCAAGGAGGCTGGGGAATGAAGAAAGAACAAAGAGAAACCGGGAAAACTAGAAAGAGAACAGGACAGAGGCTTTCACAAAAAATAAAGCCCGCAGACAGAAAAAGATACAAAGAAAAATAAAAGAAAAGAAAAAGGTCAATTCAAGGACTTACCTAAGAGGGCTTTGTCCCCCTTGGTGTTCTCATCCAGGGCATCAGCGCTCATCTCGCCGGCCTTGGCCGAGGCAAACGCATCGAAGATACCCATTCCCATGGCGACCCGAATGGCAACTAGGGCATGGTGCTTCAGAGTTGTGCCCAGCATTAGTTTGAGAGCATGTTTGTAACAGGTGATGCCGATGACTTACGCCAAAGCAAAGATTGCGAACGGTGAGGAGAGGTGGTTGCACGGCAACGCGGAGCTTGTCGATGGCATCCAGAAGCTGGTACCGATCTGCTTCCGCGATGTCCTCTCCGGGGGTAAGCTTGGCTAGGGTGCTGTTGACAGCAGCGGTCAGTGCATTCACAGTATCGGCCATTGTGACAGATGATCCGGAGTTTTGGGATAGAGGTATACACTGAGAGACCGGGTGATACCAGGTTTGGGACAGGAAAATACTTTATACTTCTATTGATCTTTTGGTGTTCCTAATTTTAGTCGAAGTGCAAGTAGAGATATAGGGACATTCATTGATGTGGAAATTGACCTACATAGTACGTGCCATCTGCATTGGTCATCTCCAGTTTCCCCCGTCAGCACTAATGCATAGCAATGTGCTTAGACAAAGGAAAGCGAAGGCACTAGCAGATAGAAGTCCCAATCAGTTTAGCGCGACTGACATCTGCTCCGATCGACAGATTACGAGGAGTCTTCCTGTGACATTTCATACATATGAATGTGACAGTACTGAGAACATGCGGGACGCAAACAAATTCAGCCAACCAGCTAGCTTCTCTTTACCAATGTTTCTATTACCCGGTGGAATTTAGCCGTTTGAACCACCATGAGACTCTAGCCCAAGTCGGTCGCGTAGGTAAACGTCTCCACCAAGGACAGCCTTGCGGCGCGAACGAGGTTACCCCACTCGTCTTGGGTTCGCTCCCTGGCCGCCAAGCACGCCATCATGGCGATAACTATCCATCTCAATCACCCGAGGCCCAGCGCCTTGTCGACGAAAAGGGTCGTGGTCTGATTGCCCCCCCCCCCAAAATCCAGGTCCGCGTCAATGTTCTGATTATTGATGGGATCGTCTCTACCGCAGGTGAGTCGGTCCAGCTGAAACACATCCATCCAGGTGGGTTGACCATGGCGCTGGGAGGTCATCCAAAGACTGAAGTCCTTGAAAATATGGGGGGGGTTATCCATCATCCAGGCGAAAGCTGTCAACTTAGTTCCGTGCGCCTACTGGAATGCCGTTCGGCTGGCATCGGATGAATTGCGATACCCGCTGGACTAGCAACAGGAAGGATGGAAGGGTCTGCCAGGCGGAGAGCTGGATTCCGACGCTAGGTACGCGTTAGTAGGGAGGCGGTGGAGCATGGCACAGTTTGTATTGCCTTATGGTGATTGATTCCTACTCGAAAACCGGGCAAGGTGAGAGCCTGTGTCGCTGTAGATGTCCCGTAGTACTAGTCTAAACTCGCTTCGTGAACCAGGCCAAACGCGGACAAATACCGGAGGATACGGCCTGAATCTCCGGGCATTTAGGTAACATTGGCGATTGACAACTACTAAGTACTAACAGGTATGGGGAGGAGGAGGGACACCCTTACGCAGCAATAGGCTCTGTGCCCCGGTCGCCTCCACGTGCTCTGCCAGGCAGACGTCAGTACTATTAGGATCTAACCTACGGTGGATCCGGCCCCGGGAGATCTCTGCCAATCAACTGCTTATCGAATGTCAAGCACTACTACTTATGTATTTCCAGCTGCACTAGCCACTCGAGTGGCCGGAGTCACGAGTCCAGCTGCTTATCATTTCAGTGTGTGGCGCAAGACTCCTTGGGATTTCCACTCTGATTATCGTCTCACACCTTTTCTTCTCAGCGCCTAACGACATCAATGGACACCATTATTCCGAAAGCTTTGAAGAAGGGAGACACAATCGCCTTCATCTCACCCTCCGCACGTCTCAATAACATCCTACCTGCTCCCCTCGAGCGAGGAAAGGCCTATCTGGAGTCGCTAGGCTTCTGTGTCCAGATTATTTTCTCTAACCAAAAAACAGCCACTATCGCGGATTCTATTCGTGTTCGATGCGAGGAAATCCATGCCGCATTCCGTGATAGCACGATTGGCGCCATTATTTGCACGATCGGGGGCGCGCATGCGAATGAATTGCTACCTTTCCTCGATTACTCCCTTATTCGATCAAATCCTAAAATTTTCGTCGGCTACAGTGACACTACCTTCCTGCATTATGCGATTCAATCTCAGACCGGCTTGCGGACATTCTACGGACCCAGTGTTCTTACAGATTTCTCTGATTTTCCTAAGCCTATACAACTCACAGTCGACCACTTCATTCATGTGCTGACTGAAGGGGGAAAGTCTGTGGGTCCACTTCCTCGATCCTCAATCTGCTCGAACGAGCATAGCGACTTCCTATTTAGCAAAGGAATCGTCGAGAAACCGCGCGAAATCGTTGATTCGCCTTCATGGAGATGGCTCCGGAGAGGTCGAGCTACTGGATATCTGTTTGGGGGCACTGTACCTTGTGTCGTGCGTCTTCAGGGGACCCAATACGCCCCCTCGTGGAAAGACAAGATTCTCTTTCTTGAGTCTGCGATGGGCGACAACTTGCAACTGCCATATTCTGTATCCCAGTTCCGAAACAATCTTGTTGATCTTGCTTTGTCTGGCATATTGCATGAAATCCGCGGACTAGTTGTTGGACGAGGCTACAAATACAATACTCACATGCAGGAGGAGCTTGCAAATGTGATACTGGAAGTCTTTGAGGTGATTGTTGGCCGAAATCCTGAGGAACAGCTTCCGATCCTGATAAACGTTGACTTTGGCCATACGAGTCCATTCCTGACTTTGCCTATCAACGCATTAGTCAAATTAGATAGCGATCTCGATGAGTTTAGCGTTCTGGAACCTGGGGTGCAGGCTTGATGGGGTAGTGGGACTCTATTCGCTGAGAGAGGTGCGCCGAAAATGTGCCTACGTCTGTAGGAGTCCTATGTACAGCTTCCTGGAGGCCTGTCACCTTGCTTTGATACAGGATTACTACTCTTTCGCTTTCCCGAGGTGCGGTCCCCCTCACACGGCATGGCTAAGTAGCAAGATAGATAAGACTTTCTGAAACTGTGTGAAATTATAGTACACTCCAAATCTCCCCATATAACGAGGGTCAGTAGCACATGTTCAAAGGCGCTACCATGAAACAAAGCACTCCACTGCCACCCTGATCCAAATGAAAGGCGATTAGTCTAAAGCCATCGTATTGAATGAGTGAGTTATGAAAACGTGGTATTTCTGTGTCGAACGCCTGAGGCTCTCCAGGAGGGATTGCAATGTGTTCACGCTTATGTTACTGCTCCGTACATAAGGGTAGCTAGTGCCTTTAAGGCTAGATTAACAAAATAATGATTGACCTAGAACGCAAGAGATAAAGCCATCTCAGCCTATCTAGTGACCGGCAAGCACGCCATTATGGCCACAACCATCTACGCCCCCGGAGGTCCGCCGCCGAAAATCTATCTCGTGGATAAGCAGGATTTACGATCAGTCGGACACCATCCCCTCGCTGCCTTCCGGGCGAAGTTGTCTAAATATCGCTCAATTTTGTCACTTCATACAGACTCCCCATCGGAGCTGTGACCAGCGATGAGGTCCCATTCTCTTCCCTCTCTAGGGCGCATTGTAAAAGGTGTAGGAAATAAGTATATTGCTTGTGCGGATGATTTGTGTACGCCCGGTAAAATAACTTAAATCTCCTCGGGCGGCATTCTTGGACCATGGAAGATGGGCTCTCCAATCCCATTGATTTTAAGCAGCTTGAGAATAACACTAAATTTACGCGCAGAAGCGTCAATATACAAAAATTTGACGAAAACTTACATTTATGATAAGTATACCATCCGTGCTCACTCAAGGTGCATGTATTCATTGAATCATTTTCGAGAAATTAACCTAATCAACATAACGGAGATCACTTCAACTCCAACACCGCCCAAAAGACATCCATGGTCTCCCACCGGGTGGAACCCTCTACACCCAGTTCCTGAATAGATTGCTCGAGTTCCTGAATAGCAAAATTCATAGCTTCATCATTTGATAAGCCTTCCTCGTGGATCCATTGACGAAACAGCTCTGAGCAAACGAACTCCACTTCCCAATGGCCATCCCACAGCTGTGAGTCAGGTTGTATGTAGCCGGAGCGTTCCTTTCGCCAGCCAGTTTCGTGCGCAACGTCGAGCAGCTCTTCTGGAGTGAGCGCGGAGCGTACGTTGGGCTCCCTCGACCCTGTCGCGGCGGCTTGCGTAGGGAATGGTACTGGGCTTGCGCTCGCGCAGCCAGAATATGTGGGACTTGTGCTGGTCGCGAGGCGCGAAATCCGTACTCCGCCAGGCACAGATAGCGTACTTTCGCATCGGCTAGAAGTTGGAAGACCTGGGCAATGCTCGCACGGTCGGGAAAATACCACAAAGAGTGGCACAGTACGGCCGCATCAAATTTAACTGTGCTCGTGGGTTGGGAAAGCAGACCGGCCGTGTCGGTGCGGAGAAATTGGATACGCTGCCCTAGCGTGGACGCCTGGATGTGCTTCTGCGATTGTTCGACGGTGTATGGGCCACCGTAATCAGGTGGGGCCGTGTCGATGGCTGTAATTTGACCATGAGAACCGTTGATCAATGCGAGAACTAGGCTCGATTCGCCTTGGCCACATCCAATGTCGAGCACTCTAGAGCCTTGAGCGATGTCCCAGGTTTGAGTTAGAGCAAGCCTGTGCTGGAAATTTGGCTCAACGATGGAAGTGCGTGCTTTCTCATCATGCAGATAGCTTGACAAGAGAATATCCATGACTCGATATGGGATAAGCTTGGTATCTTTCTTTGCGTTTTTCTATCCCTGAAAGCAGTTGGTATTATAAATATAGTGGTTGTGGGAAGATAGACCAGGTGAGAAAAGACATCACTGTTCGCCTCAAACGACCTACTTATGTCTGATTCTTCGTTATCATATCTCGCAATCACTATTCATGGTCGGTCGGCGACTTCTTAATTATGATTTGCACTAACGCTTCCTAGGGGATGAGGCCTGTGCTCAAACGGCGTTGTGTATCCGTGGTGGTCGAATCCGAGCAGCACTACTTGTGTCCGATTAAGATACGGGCAATATACTTCCATGATATATATAACCTAGTTATCCACAGATAAGAGCCGCCTGTTTAACTGGACCCAAAGGGTAGTTGCCGTCATGAACGAATATTAAGCCCTCAGGGATTACGTACAGCATCCCCTTCAAGCGCTCCTAAGGCTCACGCCCCATCGGAAGGCCGAGCACATCAATAGGCCTGCTACCAGACCCGCTTCTATCTAAAATGGCAAAGCTGCTAGACAATGCTCAAACCATTGTTGGAGGCCCGAATGAGCTGATAAGACTTTAGACTAACATACTTAAACTTGAAAAAGGACACAGCACGCCTGGAATTCTATGAGTGGAAAACCCTGGAGCCTAAAGGAAGCGGAAAGAGATGGAACCATTACAAAGTACTGGTAGCTAGGAAACCAGACTTCATTCTCGCCACCTCCTGCATTGATATAGAACTAGTTCGCTTTCTTACAAGCACATTACGCCATAGAATCCTGGTTATCAATGATAACCACTCTCCATTAAGCGACCGATTTCCCGGCGGTCTTCCGTTGCCAAGAAAGGCCCGGCCCGAGAGCCTCGATTCTGTTGTGCCAGACGGAGACCTACCAAGACAGGAGAAACGAGTGAGTATTAGATGCAATAAGCTAATATGGTAAAGATTGAAGCATTATATGGCAGATAGTAATGGGTACTACACCTGCTAACCTGAGTAGCCTGACGTGGTTCGGCCAGTCTAGCAGGGAAACTTATCTGACCACTACTGGAAGTATCTACGTACCGTTTCCGACTCCGGCTAGATCTAAGGCGAGTGCTACGCCAGGCTGGCTGGCGAAGTGTCGGAGAAAGAAACTGGGAATTCAGGGTAAGTAGTTATTATAGCCTAGTGGTCGTTCTGGCCGCTAGGATTCCCTTCCATTAATGGCAGGTCCTTGATATCATATGTGCTAAATTGTATGTACCCCAGCAAGCAAAGTATCCTGGGTTATGGTACCGATGCATGATGGTACCTAATCGTCCTCAGTTAGGAGAAACTAATCGACCCCATGATGCGGGTGTTCAAGGCCCGAGCGATCGGCCCCAGCCAAGATAACCTCATGGGCTGCTGCCAGATGGATATGCTGCTTCGCCGTTTGGGCTTTCAATAGATCACTGTTGCAGATCAGCCTGACAGAGCCCAAGTCAACAAGAAGGTTGTGGTTGGAATGGTCTGTGGGGGCCGCAGATCTCCAAGACTCAAATTGGCAGAGTAATGCCATACACCCCATCAGGTGTCAGGGAAGGGCTTCGTCTTGTGCTGGGCGGGACGCCATAGGAAAGAAGCCCCGGGGCTTCTTTGTACCTCCGACAATCGGTGCCGATGTTACCGATGATATGATTATCTCCTACGAGAAATATTTGGCCCTGTGGTTGTCACCACAGCGTTTGAGAAAGAAGAGCAGGCTATTAGAAAGGCTAAGAACTCAATATATGGTCTAGAGTGCTCGATATTCACGCAGAATGTTGAACGAGCCCATCAACTGGCCCGGCCAATGAAAAGCGGGACGGTATGGTTCAATAGCAGCAATGACAGTAACTTGCGCACTCCGTTCGAGGGGATCAAGCAGAGTGGAAATGGGCAGGAGCTTCGGCGAAGCCGGACTGGCGGCGTACTCCAGCATCAAGTCGATCCATGTCAATTGGGGCGCGAAACTGTAGGGAGGTTCCTGATGTGTGTAAAAATAAAATGAATGTGAGGTGTCACATTATCTTCCGATGGATTGGTTCTAGATCTTGCGACCGTAGAGTCACGTGACAGGCTCGCCATGTGGTTTGGTTTTCAGTATTATTATCGGTCACAAAACTATCTTATAAATCAGAATTTAATGTTCAGTGAGCCATATAAGCATTTTACGATATTTGGTTTGCTACAACTTACTATGGGCCACTACTATTAGTAGTAATATTTGCTTCACTTATGAACAATGATCAGGACGGTGCTCATTACGACTACTGTAGTCGGCGGTCACATATATATATTCCCCAGTTTTGAAAACCACTCACATGGAGAGCACAACCAATTCATAACTATGCTATCTAATCATAAGGGTCCTTATTATTTTCGGCCCACAGTAGGCAAACTGTGGGAATCCAATGTATTAATAACTGATATATTCCGTGATCATGTTTTTCCTTCAATTTAATTGACCGTGTTTTTCTGATCCTGCTCTGTTTTACTTTCCAAGTGCCAAAACCAGTGCATGCAAACACAACAAACAGCACACCGAATGCCCCAGAAAGAAGAACGGCATCCCCGTTTCCGGACCATCCGGGGCAACTCCGCAGCCAAGGGGGAGAAACCTACTGCGATGAGCTGATCTTGCAGCTTAAACCATCGAACCAAGCCGAAGACGGTGCAATGACAATCCCTAGATTGTCCCCTCTTCTCCGCCCAGGTAGTCTTGACGAGCTGGGCAGGATGATCCCAGCCACATTTGGGAATGAGGCGTGGGGGTGCCAAGCCGGCGCTGGGCAAAGATGGCCAGCAACAACCTGGGATACCCTCCGATATTTCCCCGGATGCAGTCAACCCCGTCCGGGGTTAAAAGGACGGTGAGAGAAAGGAATGCTTCACTCATTCACCACAAATCATCACCATGATCGGGCCGTCCCATGCTGTGGTGGCCCTGGGTCTCTTCACATTATACGGTTGTTCTGCAGCGGCTCCCGCAGTTGGGGCTTCAAATTCACAGGGTATGTCATGCGGGTCGTGAGGGATGCGACAACGCCGCATCTTCAATCAGAGTGCAAGCTGATTTTATAGCAATCGTTGCGAATGGCACTGCTTTCTCGTTGAACGGCGACAATGTCTCATATCGGTTCCATGTTAACAGCACCACCGGAGACTTGATCTCTGATCACTTCGGTGGTGTCGTCACCGGCACAATCCCATCGCCAGTGGAACCCGCTGTCAATGGCTGGGTTGGCATGCCTGGTCGAATCCGTCGGGAGTTCCCTGACCAAGGCCGTGGTGATTTTCGCATTCCCGCCGTTCGTATCCGAGAATCGGCAGGTTATACTATTAGCGATCTCCAATATGTGTCGCACGAGGTGATTGCGGGTAAGAATGCTTTGCCTGGCCTGCCAGCCACATTTGGAGATGCACAAGATGCTACGACTTTGGTAGTCCATCTCTATGACAACTATAGCTCCGTCGCCGCCGACTTGTCATACTCCATTTTTCCGAAATATGATGCCATCGTGAGGAGTGTCAATGTGACTAACCAGGGCCCGGGTAATATCACCATCGAGGCCCTTGCAAGTATAAGCATCGATTTCCCGTACGAAGACCTTGACTTGGTCAGCCTCCGTGGTGACTGGGCCAGAGAGGCCAATGTTCAGAGAAGCAAAGTGCAGTATGGCATTCAGGGGTAAGTCGCTCATCATAGAACCGACAATGTGACGTTGCTGACGGGGGATTAGGTTCGGAAGCAGTACTGGATATTCCTCTCACCTTCACAATCCCTTTTTTGCCATAGTAGATCCAGCTACTACCGAATCGCAAGGCGAGGCATGGGGCTTTAACCTTATCTATACGGGCTCTTTCTCGGCCCAAGTAGAGAAAGGATCGCAAGGTTTCACCCGGGCACTGTTGGGCTTCAACCCAGATCAATTATCATGGAACCTTGGTCCTGGCGAGACCCTAACCTCCCCGGAGTGTGTTGCAGTATACTCGGACCAAGGACTCGGTTCAGTGTCTCGAAAATTCCACCGACTATATCGAAACCACCTCATGAAGAGCAAGTTCGCCACTTCCGACCGTCCCGTTCTCCTGAATAGCTGGGAAGGTGTTTATTTCGACTACAACCAAAGCAGCATTGAGACTCTTGCCGAGGAATCCGCTGCCCTGGGTGTCCACCTCTTTGTCATGGACGACGGCTGGTTTGGGGACAAGTACCCTCGCGTGTCCGATGATGCCGGGCTGGGCGACTGGATGCCCAATCCAGCACGCTTCCCAGACGGGTTGACCCCAGTTGTGCAAGACATCACGAACATGACCGTCAATGGAACAGACTCCACAAAACTCCGCTTTGGAATTTGGGTGGAGCCCGAGATGGTCAACCCCAATTCCACTCTCTACCACGAACATCCGGACTGGGCCCTTCATGCCGGGCCTTACCCCCGTACCGAGCGTCGGAACCAGCTTGTTCTCAACCTGGCGCTCCCGGCTGTACAGGATTTCATAATAGACTTCATGACCAATCTTCTGCAAACTCCAGGCATCTCCTATGTGAAATGGGACAACAACCGGGGAATCCACGAGACTCCGTCCCCGTCCACCGACCACCAGTACATGCTTGGACTCTACCGGGTGTTTGACACGCTCACTACCCGCTTCCCAGATGTCCTCTGGGAAGGATGCGCCTCGGGTGGTGGTCGCTTTGATGCCGGTGTGTTGCAGTATTTCCCCCAGATCTGGACCTCCGACAACACCGACGCGATCGATCGCATCACCATTCAATTCGGGACCTCACTTGCATACCCGCCATCGGCAATGGGAGCCCACCTCTCCGCGGTTCCTAATGCACAAACCGGTCGCACTGTGCCCATGACTTTCCGTGCCCACGTTGCTATGATGGGTGGCTCTTTCGGCTTGGAGCTCGACCCCGCAACGGTGGAAGGTGACGCCATAGTCCCCGAGCTCCTTGCACTGGCAGAGAAAGTGAACCCCATCGTCTTGAACGGAGATCTGTACCGGTTACGCCTGCCTCAAGACTCCCAGTGGCCTGCCGCACTTTTCGTGTCCGAGGATGGCGCCCAAGCTGTTCTGTTTTACTTCCAGGTCCAGCCAAATGTCAACCATGCCGTGCCGTGGGTTAGGCTGCAGGGGCTGGACCCTGAGGCGCAGTATACTGTTGATGGTGACCAGACTTACTCCGGTGCAACGCTGATGAATATTGGGTTGCAGTATAGCTTTGATACGGAGTATGGTAGCAAGGTGGTTTTCCTGGAGAGACAATGATCGGAGATTTCATTCCCGTATATATACTCTCTGTGTCTAGCTAATTTGGATAAAAGTAATTAAAATGATTTTTCTTTGGTTATATTGGTTGAATTCAGAAATGAGAACATGGGACGTTTAAACCGTTAAGGCAGAGAGTCTAGGTGTGTACAGGCATGTGGTCAAGACTGTTTGTCTTTCGCTGTTGTCTTAAGGCCAACAAAGTTACCTTGGCTGATATCGTAGCGCCTGCCCTGGAGAAACCGCTCACTGTCAAATAAAGAGAAACTGAACTAAATCGAAGCAAACAGTATCGTGACGACGCGACCTTGCGATGATGATAGCTATAACTCGACAAGGGTCAGTGATTCGCGTAGCATGCTGAGGGTGCATGACCTGGAATGCTCAAACGGAGCGAGCTACCTCGTGGAATGCAGTGATACACAGTCAGCTAATCAGTCTACAAAGGATGATCGGTACACCGGAAAACTCGCCAGATGCCTTCTAATTGGCATTGGAATACGATATCTACTACGTTTTCACAATATTGGACTTGAGCGCAGGAAAAGTACCATGAACATCTTTGCGTCATAAAGGATATTTTTCTCAAATTTTGTGAGCGAATGTATTTATTCACTCTCATACTGTAAAGCCCACATGAAAATCTGCAAATGATGACAGATATTTAGAGCGAAAGAGCAAATTCCTCTCTGACGGCACAGAGAAGTTCAACAAACGTTTACAGCCCTGGTCTCAATGTATCGAGTTGTCACTGTGCTTGATACTGATGAAGGCCTCTTCCATTGCTTCATGTGAAACGGGAAGCCTATATCCATATTCAGCCAGCTTCCCTTGAAGCTTGCTGGTATCAAGGGTCGTGTTGCACCGCGGAGCCATCAGAACATTTCTTTGCTCGTCTTCGGTGAAGTTCTCCCACTGGAGCCCTGGCCATATGTGCTTCCTAAGCAAATTCATGACCTCATTGTGGGTGAATGGCTCAGGATTGGTCTAATGCCTTACATGAGCTCAAACCTGAACTTAGGCATAGTAAACAGACTCACAAAGTTGTATATTCCAGTTTCGTTATGCTTTGCAAGCAAGATCATGGCAGGAATAAGGCTGGGTATAATGCTCCCGGACTAGGTCATCGTCAGCATCAGTCGACGTGAGGGTGGTTTACACTTACATTCGGGACGTTGATCAGCTTCTTGTACGAAGCAAGTTTGGTGATCATGTTTTTGGGGTGCAAGTCTGCGCCAATAGGGTTGCGAATACGGAGAATCAACACGTTGGAATAGTGCTTCAAAATCTACCAAATATTCGGTCAACTGTATCGGTTTTTCAAAATGGCACGATGCTGCACGCGTACCTTTTCTGATAAGACCTTTGTGTAGGAATAGAAGCTTTTCGTGAAATTTGGCTCATCCTCCTCAGTATATCCCGTACCATCCCAGGGATGATCCTCATTGTAGTCGTAGATGCATCCAGACCCCAAATGCGTGAGATGCATGCCATTAATGCAGCAGCAGTCAGCCAGATTTACCGAGCCAAGTATGTTTGAGCGGATAGTTTCCTCCATGTGTGATTCGCACCAATCCACGTTGGGATCACCACGCTTCCCTGCGGTATTGATAACATGGGAAGGTTTCACCCTTGCGAGCTCACTGCTTACCACTAATGAGAAACTGAGAAGTATATGAGATGTGATCAGAAAGGCAGACCTTAGAACCCGTTCTCGGTTTTCTATCCGTGCTTCAGAGATGACAAGGTCATCACCCTCTTCTCTCAGGTAATCCTGAATTTGGCCGGATATCCAACCGTTGCCTAAGACGTCAGACTGCATGTACGCTGAGGGCTATATGATGTGGCTATACCGAACACAAGATACCTAATGGGTGCGTCGACTGCCATAGTGGAACTTGCTTTGGGAAATTGGTATGAAAAGCAGAGTATACTTTGGCTAATATAGCAGGATGAACAGTTTCCCCTGAGTCGACGGAGATTTCTTTCGATTATTTTAAGATATATGGTAGCAAGACATGGTGCCTATATATCATTGAGGTTCCTCTTCAGATTCACAGACCATCTTCAATAGCCGAGCTTTCACACGAATGGAATCTTCTGTGTCGCCACGCCATAGAGGTTCTGTCTTACGTATCCCAACTTGTCATATACTTTACTAGATCTAGATTTCAGCAACCCAAACTGGGTTGATGTACGTCACCGCACTTGGTGTTTCGCCCTTCTGCCAGGCATTGGCTCGTGCCATTTGGCACACCATAGAAAGCACAGTATGGATGCTTACAAAGCTGGTACATTAAGTTCACCTTCGCACTGTTTAAGGCAATAGAGTATATAATGATGTCAAAGTCCAATGTTGGGATGTTATATGACGCCTTGCGAGAGCCTATCTCCTTCTAGATAGAGCAGGCCATATCTCCATCAAACCGGATTCCTGGATTGAGTTCAAAATAGCTTGCAGTAACTTGTTTATAGGGTGTTGCAAGAACCCAAGTTCCTTCCATGGGTAAACTCGCCGAGACAGTGACCCCGTCTTGATATATATATCTCCTGCATGACCTTTGCATACGTCAGTACACTACTACTGAAGGCAGCTGTCCCATAACGATCGAATCACACGTTCCAGTTCATAAAGCTTTATGTCATCATGACTATCACTACCATCGTGCCTGGGAATAAAGGTCCTACAGACTGGCCGGGTAGTGAGGTGAAGAATATCTTGGTTACTGGAGGAGCCGGTTTCATTGGTTCATGGATGTGCCATCACCTGGTACATCAATATGGTGAAAAATACAGTGTTGTTTGCCTTGATAAATTGAGTAACGTCTCTACCTTGAACAACCTGAAGTCGGTATTGAACAGACCAAACTTTCACTTTGTGCAAGGCAATCTCCATGACAAGGAACATCTGATTAAGGTTATGGCCGAGTATAACATTGACAGTGTCATACACTTTGCAGCAGAATCTAGTGTTCAGAAGTCATTTTCCGATCCTGCAGCCTTTGTGGACATGAATGTGTGTGCGACGTTTCGGTTGCTGGAAGCAATGAACGCTTATGGTAAAATTACAAGGTATTCACTTCGGCAGCTATACTTGATTCTAGTTGATATTTCATAGATTCCTACATGCCTCGACTGATGAGGTGTACGGGGAAACATGGGGGGTCAGTGTGGACGAAGACACGCGTATGAACCCTACCAATCCTTATGCCGCTAGCAAGGCTGCAGCCGAAATGTTCGTCATGGCCTATCAGAAGAGCTTTGAAATCCCCGGCATGATTCTAAGGTGTAATAACATCTACGGGCCCTGTCAATACCCCGAGAGTAAGGCTAGCTGCCCCATTCCTCTTGATTAACACTGACTTTCTATTTCAGAGCTCATTCCCAAATTTGCTTTGCTTGTCAGAGATGGCCAGAAATTGACGATTCAAGGAAATGGCAGCTGTACTAGGAACTTCGTTCACGTTGCTGATGTAATTGCTGCATATGATACTGTTCTTCATAAGGGTGTTCCTGGTTGAATTTATAACGTCAGTTCATCGGATGAGGTATCAGTACGTGATGTCGCAACTGGAGTTTTGAGAGAATTCGGACATGATATAGAGAAGAACTTCGACGAATTCATTGACTCGATACCAGATAGGCCATACAACGACAATGACTATGTTGTCAAGGGTGACAGGCTCAAAGAGCTTGGATGGTCTCAAAGCGTCGGCTTCAAGGAAGGACTAGCCAACACGGTCCAGTGGTATCGGAAGAATGGGGACAATTGGTGGAAGGAGGCACTCGGCAATCAAATCGGGGTGTGACATTGGCCTCTGAGGAGCGGTGACAATGAAGCTAGTCTGTTATTTCAGATATTATGTATCAGGCTGAGTAGTTCCATGCAAGTTGGACATGAATGAGCGCGGTAGCTAGGGTTTCTAACCACAGTGATGTAGTCGCTTTTGCGTAAAGTAGAGTTGGAACACTCATCATAATGTGCTCGATCATTTCTGACGAACTCGTCTGTTTTTATAAACTAAACAAGAACTACAGACTATTCCTCCCTCTGTTCCCTAGCGGATTCATCTCTCGACGGTAGCCGCTCTAACATTGTAGCCGGTCATCAGGGTCGTGATGCTGTTATGGGTCACCCGGCTCATCCATCAATCACCTCTAACGGCGTTGTGATGTAGAGTACTTGAGATAGACACGGCCCATCACGCCCATGACTGGGAAAGTGTGCAGTCAACATGTCTAATACTATAACCAAATAATCATACCATAAATTTAGTTACGACCCATGGAACTGGAGCCATTAGTTCCATTTCCTATAATGAAGGGAAGGCGTAAACGCAAGTTACTGATCGGCCGCCACCAACATAGAGACCATTTTTCGCCATCGACGCAGCTGATAGCTAGTATGTCCGATCCTCTATTTTAAGATCCACAAAAGGCGAATGTGCGTTTCACTGGCCAGTGGACAATGCATCGCGGGGATACGTCCCCTCCCTGGAGTTTGATCACTTTCATTGGGGCTCACCAACGCGCATCGGATCAGACGCTTCACTGAGACTGGAAGCCCGCCATTGAGCTTTAGCACGTACAATCTTGCATCAGCTCTAGTATAATAGCCATTCCATTCCCGCGTGGTCTATACCAATTGGCGAGAGATGGGCCTCTTTGGAGTAAAGAATTCCTACTGCAAGATGTTTTCGACTCCTCCGAGATATGAAGGTGTTGGTAGAGAAATACGATGCTCAGTGGAGCACTGTTAATGGGCTCAACAAAAAGGGTTATACTCGGGATTTGGCCTTGAAGGAATGTGTACTAGACTGGTTGATGAGAAAAAGAAGTGTGTGGAGAATAGCAGGTTGCATAACTAGATTGACCGTGTGAGAAAGACATGTAACGCTATGCTTGAAACTATTGGAAACTAATGACAAAGCGTGACCTTCATTTTTCTCAGCTCTGCGTGCGGCTTTAAGTATTCGGAATAACCCGATCGCTGGTTTTCAGCTGATCGGCGTGGGGCGGTCTCAGCCGCAGTTGAAATCATTGACCGAACCTTGATTCAGCTCCCACTACTGCAGTGCCTTGACACCCCCTCCCTGTTTTTTAACTCTTTTCTCCCATCCCAAATACTGCGGAGCCAGCGGAGTAAGCTCGGGCCGGAAGTCAATCGCAGGATTCTCTATGTAACCATTCTTTTGATTCCCGGATCTGCAGGGCTGCCTGCTTCATGACCACGGGTGTTTACCCTGAATCGGTTGGCAAATCCGTCTCAGTACCACCTATTAACTGAATGATATTCGAATACTTTGTAGACTGGACTGTATCAGGTATTCTTCAATCCGGAGTGCTACTGATACCATTTCATGATCGACACTATCCTGTCTGTAGCTTGATTCCGTTGTCCTTATGCTGCATTCAACCCTTACTTCGTTATTTGTCTACACTTGATCGTGACTGATTGCCTTGATTTACGAATGAGTCGGGGTCATCTTAGTATGTGTCTTCAGCATTTCAGCTTTGCTGGAACAGTTGCGCAAGATCGAAGGGAACAGAGTGCAAATAGCAACATCTATCACTGTGTTATTTCCTACACTATGCCTGTGTGCACCAGATAAGCTTAGTTAGAAACAGTATCAATAGTGTAATTTCGCATAAGTGAAGTGGCACGAGGTTGCCACCTAACTCTCTCGGAGCTGTTCGAACTATCGATTCGACGTTGCTTTTCCCACAATGTTGGGTTTTCCAAATCTGAAATCGTTTGATTCCTTTCCTTGATCCAAATGAGATGAGATATAAAACCAGGCACCATGTCTCCATGAGCCTGTAAAATCCAGCACAGCACAGCATCCATCCTAAACGGATCTCGACATTGATCTGTCCAACTCGATCCGGAAACCCTAACAAATCCAATCCATCATTCACTATGAAGCTTACCTCTACCGTTGCTGCCAGCTTGCTCGTCTTCGCCAATGCCGTAAGCGCTGGCCAATGTGTAGCTGGCTTGAATTACTGCGGAAGTACTTTGGTCGATGCTGGTGAGACGCCCAGAAACAGTCCCTTGGCCAGCCAAGTAAGCTGATATATGGCAGGATACCATGACATTATTCAACAAACTCTCCGAAGCTCTGGTGAAGTTGTTCTTTCAAATTCGCCCGGCGTCTGGTGGGGCACTTACTGGAAGTGCAATCCTGGTGGCTCAATTACCTATCTCGGAGGTTGTGTCGGTGGTTGTTTCGATGCCGGAGCTGGCAACAGTGACATCTGTAGCCATGACGCGTCTAATTGGCTATAAATTGTATCTACTGAAGGGCACTGCTTTGCAGGAACCTAGTGACATTGGAACATGCCGTCGTACGGCCTAGACAGCTCTCAAGTGGTTCTTTGTACAGCAGCTGGTCGATGTCCTGTTATAAATCAACCATTCATGACTTGGTTTCAATTATCCCTTGGCAGATCATAGACCAAATAGGAGGAAATAACGATATAATGTAACACGACCAGATCAGAGCATGCAATAAGCTTTCACTTTCGCAGTCGCAAATGTAGATAGCGGTAAGAGAAGTTCGCTGTGCAAGCAAAAGTTGAAGCGTTGACAAACTGTATAACTTCGATACTTCATCCCGGACACTCAGTCTAAACAAAGGAGAACTCGCACGCTCGTATAAATAAGGGCGAGCTTTCGAAACCATGCCTTCATCGATTCCTCGTTACCTAGATACCATCTTGCAGTCGTTTGGTCGCACCGAGCCATCAGAATAGCACCGGACCCCAGCACTATTAACCCTATTGTACCCCTGTCATAACACCATTATGTAGGTACGTAAATGAGTCGCTTTGTTGTATAGACTTCATTCATACCACCTTCATTAGGTTGGTTTTCTATTGGATGGGATGTTATCCCTCCTCTAATATAACAAGATCATTCACAAATGCATCATAGCTTATGGGATTCCTTCTAGAACACACATCACACCAGTGTAGCTCTATAACTCTTGTCAATCGACCGGCCGCGGAAAGCGCCACGAGGATTAATTGGTTAGATATATACATGTTGTAGTGGCGCGACAAAGTTTTGGACACGGCTAGGTAAATTAATATTCAGGTGGGATGTTTAGTGAGTAGAAGACCAGATACAGCAATAATAGCGGCTGCGGTTATTAAGTCTCCGTCATTTCCAGACCAGGTTTCAGAAGAAGAGAGTAGAAAATAACATAAGATAATTAGAATAGATCAGGCGGTAAGACGGCCGAAGCCCATTGTAGACATACTAGTCACCATGATTTCGGTGATGTTTGTTTTTATGTGCTTTGCAGGCATTAAGAATCAAGACCAACAACTTCGAGTTCGATTTCCTAATATCTCCGCGAGTAGTCCTCACATTTACCTCAATCAACACATTAGTACTAATACTGGCAACCTAAGACATCCCTAGATTCCCGATCAGAGAGGCAGGTCAGCTGAATCGGACAGGAATACGCCCGTGTGGGAATAGATGCGCCGATTTTCATCATATAGCCTTTCTAGTTATCGTCTTCGGGATTTGCCAGGCTGAATGCGGGGTAATCATGGCCAAGTCCTATGTGCAATATGGAGCAGCCCATTAGTATTTGAATTACCTTCCTACAGCTGTTGGAAGATACGAGAAGGGGTGTCTGCAGTTATGGAACGCTGGCCACCAAAGGGTGCACCAGATTTTCTACATCATGCTGATAGCCTGTATATCCCAAATTCCATAATGACTGGCCCTATACAGAGCCTCGCCACGCGCGTGTTCAGCCCTTTTTTTTGATCAGTTACAGCCTACGGACTGAAGTACAAAGTGTGAAATAGGGAATCAGATGGTTATTGTATAAATGGTCCTGACACATGTTTACACGGGTTTTGCTTGTTCAATGCATTGTGCTGCCCATTTCGATAGTGCCAAAAAACAGGGGGTAATCACAGGGCCTCGGGCAGCTCAGCTCTTGCGCTTCCTCCTGTGGAGACCCAACAGTCCTCGCCTTGATACGTCTTATTTTATGAGCCATGAAGACATGAAAAGGTATAAATAAGAGCCCATATCCCCTCAACCCACCTAAGAAACAGCAAAGTTCCTATTGTCTAGCTAATTTATCCTGCCTCCTACCTCGAGAACAACAAGGCCTTCAGTTTTATCCCGGAAAGGTTACTATGAAGTTGATTGCCATTATCACTACCGCCGCCCTAGCCTTCGCGGCCGCTGGGAGCGCTGCCGTCTGCACGCCTGGCTTGAACTACTGTACACGCGTTCTGACGGACGTCAGTGAGTGACTCCTTCCAAGGTCTTCTAGTGCCTGGAGATAATACTTATAGCTTGAAATTTATAGGCGGTAGCAATTTCGAAGCTATACAACGAGAGCTGCAGCGCACGGACAACGTTGTGCTTTCCAATACTCCCGGCCTCTGGGGTGGTCTAGTATTTCATTGCAACAATGACCATTCCATCACTGAGGTCCAGAGATGTCCCGGTGGCTGCGTGAATGCCGGAGCGGGCCAAAGTGATTACTGCAGCTCCAGGAGCAGTCCCTGGGGTTAGATCGCCGGTACCTACCAGCGAGTTTTATACAGTGTGTATGAAGACAGGAGTAGACACATTGATTGCGTGAGGAATTACTGGGCCGTGTGGTGTATTTGCGGTTATGAATGAATTGGCAACAGAAATATACTTGTTGTGAGAGTTTTTCTTGATTCTGTTCGGTAGTAGGGAATCTTATGTCCTTATGTAATTCTCCACATATTCACAGAATATCGACGCTCAGAATTTAATTTCTATGAGGACATCAACGTCAGGTCTGATTCCACCAGAAGCCTTGGCCAGCAGCCTTGACAGACTTCATGAATATATTGTTGATTTAAATATGTCCCTTCTATGCTTTTCAACTAGAGGATGCACGCACAAAGGCGCTGCTAAGACATATCAATTGGGCTTTCTCTTTTTACTATCAATTCCTGATATACATTCAGATGAAGTTTAGGGCTTCAGCATCAAATTCATACCTGAATTCGATGAGCAGCGGGATCTTGCATTCGGTACTAGCGTGTGACTCGGAAAGTTTTGTGGCGTGAGAACTACCTACTATGAAGCAACTGCCAGCGAGCGTGTCAAGTGCGGATCAACATTTAGATGCTTTCGTGATATTAGCAGAGCTTTTTTACCCACTGTATGTAGCCCTTCTGCCAGATAGTATTTACAGCTCACAAGGCGGTAATGGAATGCAGAAATCCAATGTAGACATTCCTACGTGGCTGGACTGTTGCTAATCAAGCACTGGCGCGGAATATGTAATTCTACTTGAGTACTTAGATAAGGAGCAAACCGCAGTGGTTCTTTGTCATCAATTTTATCCACATATCTGGCTTGACGGTGATTTAACTATGCCTCGAAAACACCCCATCAGCTGCAGTTCCAGGTCCTGGTACCTATATCTTGTCTAGTGTTTCAAGCCATATCATCTGTTTGTCTGCTTGCTCGACGCCCTAAGCCACACGATATACATTTTATCTTAGTACACGTTTTGAACTCTAATTGCATAATGGTTCGATGTGTCCTTTACAGCCTCATGTCAACAGAACTCTACTTGTCTTCATCTTCTTGCGACTTGCGATACTCATTTCACACAACCCATCAGACCATCAATCTACCAATTTATTCCTGTAGATCTGGAGCTTGTTACAAAGTGTTACGGTGGTCATGGTAGGTGTATCCACGGACACGTCTGTCTGCTCGCTGTTACTTTCCGTCGCTAGCAGTGATTTGACATAGTGAAGTGGTCAACGAGCTTCCTCAAGTCAATTTGTAATTCAAGTCTTTGAGACTCAATTACAAGTCTGGCGACAACCAAGTAATGATCCACCGGGTGTTGGTAGTATTGAGGGTCCAAAACCAGCTTTATGCGAGTTTATTACTTTGGCTGCTCATCGGATCAGCTGTCCCGAGATGCGAGGGTGGCACTGTATGTGCAAACAACGGTGCTGGCCAGAATGACGTTTGCGAAGCCTTGTACTAGTGGGCATCTTGGCGCGGAAAGAAAGGAATGGCAGCGTAACCTTTCAACAAGGTATGGGCGGTTCAAGGAATGCATTTGATATATGACATCGGACAGGGCAAATATATATGGAGTGTGACGTTGCTTGTCCATTGCAGATACCTTGCAATCTGTCTCTTTAATATAGCTTGCTTCCCAGTGAAGCCATACCCTGGGCATAGTAGGTATCAATCAAGAATGGTTTGGCCGTTGGGAGGAGAGTAAGTTCTTTTCTTCCTTTTTTTTCTTCTAATTCATTGCAGTGCTTGGCATGAGATCTCGGGTACATGGTGGATATTAATGCCGTGCTTCCGTAGGCGTGGTTGTTTCGGTCTTTTCGTCTTGCACATTCTCGTATGTTATATCGCTTGGGTCCCTCATCACAATTGTCCAGGAAGGAGAAAAATGAAAAGAGCAAGAGATAAAACAAAACGAAAAACATAAAAAGCACAAGGTAGAAACGAACAGTAAAGGGGGAAAGTGGGGGAAGCGAAACAAGGAATGAGGGTCGGAAGGGGGTCTTGAACAAACCGGGCAGATGGGAATTTTCTATCGGTCTTACGTGCCAGAGCGGTAAGCATGGTCTGAGCACTGCGGTCGCATGTCAACACCAAGCAAAAGGCTTGATGATCATGCAGAGGGGAATCCAATAGAGGCTACATTATTTGCTGGCAGTTGTCTTTTCTTTGACTATCTGACAAGAGTCAAATCACGTGACGTGTACCATCTATAATATTCGTTGACCTGCTCGCTGGATGCGAATCAGTGGTCTACTTTATGTAACATGCCAGAATTTTCAATGTCCTATTGGAGTTGCCAGAAGACTCGCAAAGGGCTGTCGGCATTTACGGAACCATGGTAACCAGAAGCTGCACCAACCTTTCAATATCACCACGATAACCTATGCCTACTACATTAACGGGTAGAAGGTTCGTCTATAGTATCGAGCGTCCAAAATGGTATTCTGCGGGTCTGTCTGTTGACCCCTCATCACGATCTGCTGTTAGGTGGCCCACAAAAAGCAATTTGAAACCTCATGGACTAGTGATTTAGGCCACCGTGTTCATCTCCTTACGAGGTAGCTTCACATTGAGCGAGTACCCTTCTAAGCCTAGTCTGACAAAGTTTGGACCAAGCAGCTTGGGTCAACCCCACCCCAGTCTCTCCAGGTTGGCAAAGATTGCTAGTTCACAATTCCAAAGATACCAGCGCACTTGCGAACAGGAGTGAACTTGGCCCCCGGTAGCCTTTAGCGAGACTATGGAAGGCCTTTCTTGATACATTATACCTGACGTACACCGCAGATATTAAAGCTGCAATGTCCTCCCACAGATGGTGCCATCTTGCATTCATCACACCGCCTGCATCAGGATCTGCCTGCATTAGGCTAATGTTGTGGGGTGGTGAGTGTGGTGATGAACGTTCTATGCATACTGGTGCGGGTATGGTTACGATAATTCGCCACCTTCTCAACGGACCTGCTCGGGCTAACTCCAGATTCCGAGATCCCGCATGGTTTTTCCCCAAGGATAGGCAATGAAGAAGCGTGGGAAGCGCCTCGGTTGTGACACGGATGGAATTCCAGATAAAACGAAGTTGAACAGGAAATTGACCCGTTCGTCCGGCGTAATATCTACCATGCGCCCAAGGGCTTCTTATGCATACAGGGACGTATCCACATGTACTAGGATGTTCGGATCACTGTCCTGCATAGGGGAGATTCAATGCCGCGGTCTCAGCCGATTAGGGTGGGCTTCCAATAAGAGCCAAATACAGTAGCGTCTTTGAACATACCGTACGCGGTATATTCTTCGTGTACAGGGTTCCCTGCTACCTGCCCCGTTCTTTTTCCACCCAGGGCAGTCCTATCTGCAATAACATGCAGTAGACCGGATGGGTAATAACTACGAATGGGACTCAGCCATCAGGTTTATTTCCATGTGACCAGGACCTATTGAGGCGGAGAGGTACATTGAACTAGTGGTTCAACAGACAGGCTATTGACGCCTTAGTTTGCAGGTCCGGCGCCTGCTCAGCCAATTATCCAACAGGATCTCTCGCGCAATCTAGATCAATAAGCAATGACTCGGTCAGTAAGAAGGGTTTCTCGGCCGCAGTGTTCCAGCTGACTCTCTGTTGGTAGGTGTTGGTAGGATTCCACGTTAATCACATTTCTATCGCATCATATTTCACTGGTTGTTATGCCAGGCGGACTAAGGACCCAAATGCCTCATACCACCGCAGTGGCCATTGTACTACGACAGAGCCCATCCAGTCAATGCTCATAGAACGCTTCAATGCACGCTGTATGTACTAAACATCCATAACAATCTAAGCTTACTGTTACAGATATCGAATATGCGGCAATATCAGACTCTTATGGACATCTGTCCACCCCCATACGTCATTCTCCGTACACTGCAGTAAGGTCGGTAAATGTAACGGTAATAATAACCACATCTTTATTATTTCGGACTACTAAGATGAGATTCTGTAAACCTAGTGAACAAGCTCCCTACTCTATGACAATGTGGTTGTTCAACAGCCACATGCACATATTAGTGTAGGAACAGTGATGTATTGTTTTGGAAGCCATTGATCACGCGAAATAACATAGTGAAGACCGTAGTACAGCATGACACATCTCATTGGGCAAGGGTAGCAGGCGTCTCTGCACCTTCAGCTGCTCAGCTGAAATCTATCTCCCATGATCGTCGATCATCGGGGTTTGCTGAAAGCTATCCTCGCTTATTACTCAGATAATCTCTTAAATAGTACCTATTATTATTTCTTTTGCTGTTCGTGGATGACATAAATATGGAAGGCGCACCTCAGCAATTCGCACTTCATTCAGCCTAGCATTCAATCTTCCCTCAGTTATAGCATCGAATCGCTCCACATTCAATACAACCAAGTTTACCAAAGGTTCAGCACGAGACCAACCATCATGAAGCTCACCGCGATCATCACTGCCGCTGCCCTGGCATTCGCAGCTTCCGCGAGCGCTGCAACGTGCACCCCAGGCTTGGACTACTGTTCATATGTATTGTTGGATGTCGGTGAGCTTGCCCTCCGAGAACCTACTGGTTTATTAAATAAAGCTGATAGTTCTTCCAATTTAGATCCCAGCAACAGTAATGCTATCTCGCAGACCTTACAAAACAGTGGAGGTGGCAGTTATGCCAATGATCAGGATTCATGGCATGGCCTTATATTCCATTGCAACAATGATCATTCTCTTACTTGGCGGAGGTGTGGCTATGATGAAATGTGTGACAATCAGGGCGCTGGCAAGAATGACATCTGTATTATTGCCCCCTTCTATTGAGGGTCTCAGGGATGTGGATGGAAGGCATGTCAGGGGCACACCCTTTCAACAAGGACTGGTGGAGTACGGGCATATGAGGAAGACTGGTGAATTATGCCTCGATGTAAGCAAGCATATAATGCGAGCAAGTGATAGTCTCTTCGTTGTTGCATACCCTACAGTAAACCTCGGGTGAAGGTCCGTTTTTGCTGTGACTGAGTCACGCTATGAGTGTAGACAATAAATACCGGTATCGTCATGGTTGCGCCGGTATGGTCGCCCCCAATGATCCCGTAGGCATGTTCCCATAAGGGGAATGATCGATCAAAATATAAAATGGAAAGAATGCAGATGTTGGGCGGCACTCGTTTGTGTCAACGTAATATACGCTGCTGTGTAATCCGCTACTTACGAGCATCAACCAGCCGATACGAATGGCACGATCGAAAGATAACACAGGTGTCTCAGCCGCCAAACACGGAGGACTATTCACCGCAGAATATGGCGAATTATGCGGTCGCACATCCGGGAAGCCCTCCTATCAGATCAGAAGACATACAGTAAGAAACGTATTTAAGGCAAATGAAGGGTTTTACAGCTCTCAGTAGCCGGATGCATGATCGATCCTGGAATCAATCTACCCCTGGTCAGCTACTTGAAAGTGCTTCAACCATGTTGTCTGCGTTATTGCTTACAATCGGCCTGCCTGCTCGCGAGCTGGTAATTACTTAGTTTCAGGCTCCACATCGACTAATTTCATTTGAATTCGCATCAACTCACAGGTAGTCGTACTCAGAAGCAGCAGTTTGCAGAAGCGACCGCTGATTTCAATTTACCCTGCGTCTAGAAATGACATACCCAGGGAACCTTATGCCGAGAGCGTTCCAGCTGGTACGATACTTATATAAACGAATAGTACCCATTCATGGATCGCGTCAATCACTCATACTACTAGTCCTAGAGCACTGACATTTTTGATTGCGTCACGGCAGTGAACCCGTAGTTCCCGCCCACGCCGGCCACCCGCGCGGATCGGCCGCCAATCCACTATCATACAATGGACATAATTTCATTATTGTTGTATCTTGGCTAATGGTGTAGCTGTTACTTCATAACTCATTTCCTCAATAGGTAAATATTGAGATGTTTATTAGAACTCTTGTAGAACTTTCAGTTAATCATTTTATGCTCCCATACTCCCAAGATACATTGTATATATTCCTCTCATAATCGACATGTTCCAAGTGGGGAGAAGATTAGGCGCGGGCGGCAGCTGCATAGAAGAATAAGATCTTGAATCAACAGACTCAGATCAAGCACCCATGTTAAGCTTTAGGTGAATGTAAGAACAACTGGATCCCCACTGTAAGGCCATTCGGAAAGGGCTTCTGTGACAGAGATATTAATTAAAATATTAGAGCTGATTGTATATTTGTACCAGAAATTTCTATGGTGATTGCCCTACGTCACCTAATCACTTTCCTTTTCCCATCCAAGACACACAAAAACCGGTTTATGGCCAGTCTATTCTCTGGCCCTCATCACAATCAAAACTCGGAATAAGCAACTATATACTTCATGAATCGGCAAATGAGGCCGCAATATCTATGTTCTCAAAGGATTAAGTTGCATGAATTAAACCTAATTTTGTGCTTACTCCTTGCCCAAGCTTAGGCCATACAACTGGGCCAACTCAAGACAGATTTTGGTATGTTTCGGGCTCCTGAGGTTAGAGTGTAAGACTGATGAAGACATGGAGAATACCACGCTTATCTAAAACATTGGACTGCATGTAGTATTCTCATTCAATTACTTCTCTCAAGAGGGGCGTGTTCTTCGTGCACTTATATTCGTGGCTACTCATTAATTCAAGGGGCATGGGTAACTGTTCTTGGATATATTTCTCCACCCCTATGCAGGTAACGTGTCACAAGGACTCTGTGGGGATCGGCGTGCATGAACCTACTGTGTCGCGGTGGGAGGAAAGATGATGGATGAACTACAACCCCAAGTGCGGGGAACCTTGTTAGCTGAATCCGAAACAGACTGGTCTGGACTAACCCACAGGGTAGGACAGAGAATCTGCCCGGTTCCGCTCTCGACATAGCAGCCAATGGCAGTCGTAGGAGCCACTGTGGGGGAGTCACGGATCATCTGCTGCGCCATGTTCTCCATCCGCTGAATGCTTTTGTGGTTAAAGAATGATCAGAAGCTGACGTGAACATATCAATTTTCATGCATCCAACGACTCGGGTGTGCTGAAAGTAAAAGCTACGACACACTGGACAAAGGAACAGCAGAAAGCGAAATTGGCGTTTGGATTCGAGTTCACAAATCCTGCTGAGCCTGTTCTCTGCAAGAAAAGCCCGCAACAGAGTCACTAGACCGATAAGCTATGACGATACGGTAATGGCCAGGGCAGCGTTAACTGGGGCATGAGCGCTCTGACTCACTGTGTTCGCAGGCCAGAAACTCTCATTATAGCCCTAGATATGTGCATTCGAGTCGAATAAAGAGGACAGGATTGGGACTGCCAGGAATCATCATCCCGCCTGCCGTCTTTCATTGGATATTGTACCACAATAGCCAAACACCCAAATTGTCTTTACTCATGGTACGGGTCATCGGTCATATTAATAAAAGTTTCAGGTGGTTGTCATCATCCTTCAACCCACATCCGTATATATGCAACAACGTCTATATTCACGTGCTCTACTTCTACCACTTGAGAATGCTAGAGATATTTCCCCAAAGAATATGGGTATTCAATTGCAATTGCCAGTGACCTTGCATAGCTCTAAAGAAAGGCTGCTGGCATGCCATGCTTCTCACGCTCTCTTGGCCTTGACTGGCGACTGGTAACTGGCGAAAGATATATTCTAGTGCGGGCCTTTACTTGCAAGTTCATGGATTGATCTAGTAGGATCGAGTATGGTGGTCAAAGCACGCTATGGCACATCTAATTGTGTAAGCCTCTTATATCTCACTCGGGAATTCCAGCTACTTGGTCATTGTATCACCATGAGTGCCGATCGCTGTCTTGCAGAATGTCCTTTACCCGCACATGCATCAGATAATTCAAATACCAGACAGTCATGAATACTCTTCTATCCTCCACAGGCCGTATATAAGTACAGCACCACTCTCTTCATTCTCATGGTAACCCCAAGTTCAATTCACACTGTAAGAAAATAAATATCAGATAAAGAGGTAATTTATCTTTATCCGAGTATCCATTGCTTCTCGTCCCTCAGGATGAAGCTCATCCCAATCTTCACTACCTTGGCCCTTGCAGGTGCTACCAGCGCCGCCACCTGCACCGCAGGGTTGAATTATTGTGCCGATACTCTCGCACCACTTGGTAATATCCCATTCCTTAAGCCCTCCCGGGTGGTTTAGAAATACTCACTCTCGTTGCTTTGTAGACAGCAACAACAATGACGCTATGCGGCAGGCCATCACAGCCTACGGGGACTCAGACAACGCAATCAGGATGTGGACATGGGACATATACGTCTTCCATTGCAACAACGACCATTCACTCACAGTTGCTGAACGGTGCGCTTTTTCGTGTGAAGATGGAGGTGTTGGTAAGAATGATGAGTGCGCTTATTACTAGTTGAATGACTAGTCCGTGTAGAGGTGGCTAGTGGCACAACCTTTCAACAAGGTTTGCCGTCGTTTAGATATTGTCTTTTGGATGCTAGATATTGGCTCAATTGATTTATTAAATTGAATTTAACACAGCGTTCTATGGCACATCTGCTAATATCTATAATATGGATATACCATATTTGTTGTCGCTATAGTCTAATCTACACTTAACCGAGTCTTCGTGGAGGTAGCCGTACCATAGTACTACTAATAATAAGCGCTTTGTTGTGGAACAACAGATCATGGCAGTTGCGAAACCGGGAGTAGGTGTAAGAGTTGGCAAATCGCGAAATCACGTTGTGCTCCATCTTATGCGATTGGCCACCCCGCTCGGCAACCGCAAATTACTTTGAAAAGGCCACTTCGCGTCGTTTAATTTCGACTTAATATGCTTCTGGCACGTGGACGGACTATAGGACGGCAAAACGCATTCCATCACTAGCGCTACTACTAGGAGTACTTAGTCCTACCGTCGGACGCGACCGCCAACTGTTTTTCTCCTATGACATGAGACCCTACGTACCAGCTGCAGGTGCATCCAGGGTATGAAAATCATATAAAGCTATCTGTACATCACTGAACAGTCCGCCTCGCCCCTGAACCGTTGGATGGTACAACCTTCGTTCCATTGTTCTGCCAGTCTTCGTTTTATCGAATTAACATGGTGAACTCATTCAGGCCGTCGGTCAGTCCTTTGTGGCTGTTGATAGTGGTTAGCTGGAGCAGTGCCCAAGTCCTGGCTCCCGCTAATGATATCTTATCTCCGTCGACCCCGACAAACCAAAACCCCCTGCAATATGCCGGCGGAAATAGCCCTTACTTCGCTGGTACGAACCCTTTTCCTTACATTCTGCGGCGATAGTGGTCCTTACTTGTATTCCCAGGCCCCAATGTCTTCGGTATCGACAGTAGCGTCCCAGATAAGTGCTCGGTCCAGCAAGCGGCGTATGTCGTGAGGCACGGCAGCCGGTAAGTGCTCCACGACGTACTGCGCCCAGGTCCTTGAGCGCTAAGCTTGGACTGCAGCTTCCCAGATTCTGGCTCCTATGAATCATGGGTTGGTATCAAGGAGAAGGTCTGTTATCTCCGTCACAGTAATGTGTCAGGGCACAGCCATTCTTTCTAACCTCCGATACTAGATCCAAGCTGCTGTCAATAGCACCGGCTTTGAGGCCCGCGGATCACTGGCCTTCATCCCAGAATGGACCCCAGTTTTGACCAATCCAAGCCTGCAAATGTCTCAAGAGTCAATGACAGGATGGAAGGAGGTACCTGCCCATTCACGAACATCAACACGGTATGAACACTAATTGTGTGTAGGCGACCGATCTGGGCTACCAGCTACGGGCCCGATGTAAGACTGCAGCCCCATGCCCATTTTCATTGGTTGCTAATGTAATGTCAGATCCCCACTTCTACGAAGATGGAACCCCATTCTATGCATGGGCGAATGCTTACCAGTATCCTCTAAATGAGTCGCGAGTCGTTCAGACCGCCCGTGCCTTCGTTAATGGGTACCTCTACGAGTATGCCGACACGTACGGCACTGTGGTCAGCGTGAACTCGACCGGTTCCGTCAGCGCTATCGGGAATTCCCTAGGACCGTCTGATATGTGTCCTGCATTTTCCTCAATATCCAGCGGGGGAAATAATGTTACCGATTGTAAGCCTAAGGGGAAGTCCATCCGTGCGACCGGGCTAACTCCGTGACAGTCGACGCTACCTGGACTCCCAAGGCGCTCGAACGCATCAACTCCCTCGTCAGTGGCAATCTCACCTTCGACGAGAGCGACATTCTCTTCTTTCCCTATATGTGCGGATACGAAAGTCAGATAACCGGACGTCTGAGCCCCTGGTGCGGAGTGTTCACCGAGGACGAGCTACGCAACTACGCGTATTCGCAGGATTTGAGCTACTACTACAAAGTCGGCCCTGGCTCTGTTGGTCCGGCCAAGGTGCTCTTCTTACCTTTCCTCAACAGCTTGATGGACCTCTTAAGTAAGGGTCCGGGTCAGGTTGGAACCGATGCTGATGGTGGTAACTTCACCGTTCCCAACCTGATCATGGCCTTCTTGAATGACAATCAGATCGCGGAAATGACCGCTGCCATGGGCATCTTCGATGACGAGCCCTCCCTACCCATCGACCGGCTCCCCGCCCACCATCTATATGACGTTGCCAATTGGATCACCATGCGAGGCACTGTTGCCTTTGAAGTGTTGAGTTGCGAGGTCGAGTCTCGACGCCGAATGAACGACAAAACCTATGTCCGCATACTGTTCAACGACGCGGTCTACCCCATCGCCCACTGCCAAAATGGACCAGGCCGTAGTTGTCTGTTGGCAGATTATATGTCCCTTCTCGGGAAAAGGACCAAGGCTGCAGGGAGCTTCGATGAATATTGCAATGTGACGGTCGCAGATGCCCCTAACCCGGTCGCGGGCGCCAGCTTCTTCACTGACCTGAGCCTCGACTTTTTAACCTTTGTGAAACCGTGATTGCTGCCATCCGAGCTACTTTGTGGTGCTGGAGAGTATGTCTGAAATTCTTCTGTATAAATCTTGTGACTTTTGAGTATATATGAAGTTCTACTTCAATCATTGTCGGTGTTTGGGGTCTTCTGTCAAACTTGGCATAGCCCGACCGTGAAAGTTTGCCCGTCAATACCCGGCTGTACATACCTCACCTCCTTCATTCGAAGCCTAGTGACATAGTGCATTTTTATTCTCATACAAAATGGCTCTTTACTATGTAGGTCAATATCAACTGCCATTTTTGTCTGCCCCGTGATCCTCACATCACCGAGAGCAGCGGCCAGACTCGGTATCAGACCAAACCTTTGTTTCGTACGACGGCGCATAATCGGGTGAAAACGGGCACGCAGGATAGTCCGTGGCCGCTTGCTGTGTGGCGATGCTGATTGATGTGCGTGCAGTCGACTGACGATCGGAGAAGATGCTGGCTGATTCTGCCTGGAAAGATGAGGTACTCCGCACGCTGCATGTCTCCTCATCCCGCTGATCGCGTGTCTTCGCATTGGCGTTAGTCGCGTTTGTTGTCGATTTCTGATCTCGATGCATTGCCTCAACTTCCGTCTCGAACTCGGCACCGTCCCTACATCGCCATCGAGCAAACAGATCATTCTGAATCCAGATTACTTTTCCCAGGGCACGGATCAGCGCAACCCGGAAGGGGAGTGACATCTTCTCGCACCCCATCACTCCCTCGATGAGCACATCTTGAATGTACCCGAGACACGCGCCGATGTGTATGTATTCCACATCAAAGGATATCATGCGGTCTTTCCCCGTATGCATACGCCTAGTTGAGGTGTCAGTTTGGCAGATCCAGATTGTCAAACCAGTCCGACGCTTACCCGACTTTGTCGAGGTACGCCCAGAATTCGATCTTGGTCGGATCAGAACATATTCGGGTAATGTACCAGCGGAGGAACATTCGGCGACATTGTATATAGGGGCTTTTGAACTCGGGATACTCGTCAAGATCCTCCTCAGATGTTGTGCTGCGAGTCTTGAATACACGGGCTGTTATATCTGCCTCTAGAAGCTTGGAGTATACGCGATCGACAAGGGTGGGTGCTAGTGCTTTGATGTATTTAGATCCTTTGTTTAGTGCAATAACATCATCTGGAGCATTGTGTCAGTGATATAGTCTGAACTGCCTCCGTCATGGAGACATCTAGACAGGAGATACGGGACGACTGACCGGCAGTGAAGCCAATAAATTGTTGCAGATAGCGAACGCGAGCCTCAAGATCTGTATAGAGGGCTTTCCGATCGACATGACGAGGTATGGCGCCTAAGCTGTTGTAGTCTCCCATGTTGTATACTAAAGCTGTGAATTGATTCTGGTACATCTAAAGTGACAACCTAACCTATCGCCACATGGCATTCCATGCGGGGGCCTTACTTATAGCCTGCCTTGAAGAACCCATGCAAGGGCGTCATTCAATCTTTCCGTTGATGGAAAGTGATGCATCCACCTTGGTTGCCGTCCATGCGCATTTAGGGTTCCGAGCTGCCTTGTCCGCGGTCGGGTCTGGCAATGACAAGCGAATCACCAGGTGAGTGGCAACAGGTATCCCCGCTATGTGGCTTCTACTGAAACTCTGCCATCGATGATAGTATCATATCGCGTGGGTGACAGATCCGATCGACTAGCAAACTGTTCGAGTTATTGCAGAAACTATGAATAGCTGCGGCAGGGGAGTCGCCGAACTCCCTCCTGTCTCGGCCGGATTCCCAAAAGAATCATCCTTCATTCCAGTGAAACGTCAATTCTCGTGTGTGATATAGTCTCTATTCTCGCAGGCTCTGACAAGTGTCATTGATCGCGCATTTTGACCCCTCGTTTGTTCTGTGACACACCAAATGCATGCAAGTTATTCTTTCAAAGGTTCTCCCGTCATGGCGGTCTAGTCCAGGATCCGTGCGAGAGACGCGTACATCCTGCGCGTTGGGTTGGATCCCTGTCATTCGCGTGGCGGAGAACCGTCCACTTGCAGATACGCCTCGCGTCTGAGGATGCTTTTTAGTTCTCAAAATAGAGTTTTCTTCCTTGCTGTGAGGAACGACGTGTTCTGAAGACCTCATGGCCCCGTGCGGATCCGGAAGACCAAGAAGCCATCATTAACAATAAACACCGCCAATGTAAACATCAGCGTGGCCGTGTTGCCAGGTTACTTGTGATACCAAGTCTTGTGAGAAGCCCGAAAGATCTGCTCCCACGGTTTCGACATGACAAAGGGGTAAATGATCTCATATAGAAGCGATAGTCTCCGTATGGAGTACAACTAAATCATGATGACGGATCGAACATCTGACGGCTGGAGAACCTCGCAATATGCAGAATTAATAGCTTTATTTTCCTCTATTGCATGGCCTATATTTTTGAGTATTCTCTGTTAGGTTTGACACGAACGGAATCGACAATCCTTTCCTAATTGGCGCATCCCTTGCACCCTGGACCTCTATATTACAGCTCGTTACTCCGTATTAATTCCCACAATCTCAAATCAGATGTGGATATGAGAGATAATTGCTGATCTATTTCACGTGAGGACACACCGTTGGAATAGGAATACAACTGTGATTATCAGCAATAACTACGCCTATGACCAATGCAAGGCAGGAATGGAATATTCTATTGTTCTTCCGGTCCTCACCATTCATCATACATTAGTTTCCGCGTTCTTAGGGGGTGGCGTGAGCAGTTAGCCGTCCCATTACACATTATATATGGTAATGACAATCAGTAGAAATTTCGATCTTTTACTATAGCGCTAATAATCTCAGCCATTCACTTCAACAGTCTTATAAGAAGAAAATCAATAAACAACTAAATAAATAAGGAAAAAAAAAAATAAAGAAAGAAATTAGTCCTAGATATTCCCTCAGATGATTTTGTATTACCTTGATGGAACGGATGGTTGAATATAAATCCTGGCAGTAAGAGGGATCCTTTACGCGCTCAATCTACCTGCAGCTGTAGCCTTGCAAACCGCCCGCGCATTGTGAGACTAGAGCGCGGGTAATTCGCAGGGCTGGGGGCCATATCCACCAATGTGGGAACGAAAATGGCATGCTGACATTGAGTACACAAGGCTGAATACCGGTGATTCCGTAGGCTTAGATTTTTCTTATTTGCTGCTGACGGTGCTGACAAGGAGAGAGCAGGCCTCTCCCTTCACAACTATCCAACCTGCTGGTTAACAATTCACTCTTCCAACCATCCCGCTTGTACTTTCTTGCTTGCCATCTCAGCTAACTTCACTCTCTGCGTCAATCTCATAATGACCTCGGCTTCTGCAGATGATGGAGTGACAATTGCTCTCACCCTAACATCGAGTTCGCCGACTCTTTCGCTTTCCTCTTCCCACTTTCTTAAGGTGTTTGTGCGCGCCCGCATCATCGATTCCACGTGCCCCGGCCGATCAGTCACCATCGCTGCCGACCGGTCAGTCTTTGCAGGCGAGGGTTTAGAGATCGGCGTTTTTGGGGCCGGTCTTACTTCCAAGCGTAATCCCCAGCGGATGATCAATTTTGGTATCATTAGACCGCGCTATTGTGACAATTTTGAAGGGCCAAGTCTGGCCGAAAGGGGATACCGCCTCCTCACTATCCCAGCCGATGGTACGAGTATCGTGGTCCCTTATGAAATATCGTTTGATCGGCTGTTCAAACATTCCACACTTCGTCCGGAAGATATTACATCCGGGCAAGAGTTCGAGATTAAAGTCAACCATGGTGGATGTGAGGTCTTGTGGTGGTGCTGGGGTGATGTAGAGGGAGACCTCAAAGGGAAGAACCTACACACATGGTCGGAAGGAGGGAATTATTTGTGCTCGTTTGATGAGCGGCCGAGTGAAAAGGTGATCGAGGGAGGGAACTACATCCTGGGAGGGGATGTGGACAAGTTCGAGGTAGAGGATCAAACAGGGCCAGTCGCTATCAGGATGATCGCATAGCTTCGGTAGCTTCCAATGTAATCTCTATCATGAGCACACTCTCAAAGATTTGCTGAAGGTTCTCTAAATACACCTTGCCTTAGATGGCAATGAAAACACTGATTCAACATGGACCGCGATTGGTAACTAGCCTACGGGTTGAGGTATATTCCAAGAGGATGATCAAATGGTCTTTCATTGCGCTATAGTATGCTAATCAAAAGACAGATGCTGGCTCGTAGTCAGAGCCGCAATCCCTCCGCTACGCAGTCCAGCACCTTCGCGCGAAAGTCCAGAGAAAGTTCCGGATCACTTCCCTTGCGAAAGTCGCCACTAAGGCAGGCCACAACTGCAGAGGCATAAGCGCTACCCATCTCCTTGGGTAGGTCGCGTTGGGCCAGCGATGTTAAAGCAGCACGAACGTCGCGAGCCTTGGGTAGTTTGCGAGTACGCTGGCCCTCTTTAATGCGTGTTTCAAATAGGCGAGACACTGTCTTCCACAACCCAATTTCCAACAGAACCACCCCTAACGCGTATATATCATGGAGCCGGGAAAACTGTCGTGTGGGAGCGCCCTGACGGTCGGGGTGGCGGTAAAGGTTGGGTTCAATTTCAAAATCACTACGCATATCAGTCGCTCCCTCGACCGGTCGGGCATAACCCCAGTCGCTGAGGAATGCGAGAAGGCGCGGCTTTTGTAGTCCGCCTTTGTTGGACGTCGCGGTTGTAGTGAGGGTCAGTTTGGACATAAGCTCAACGCCATTGTCTTGCGTCTGCTCAAATAAAAGAATACCTCGACTCCAAATGTTCTTGTGCAACCAGAGCGAACCGTGGACGTTGAGAGTGGTTAGTGCGAGGCAGTGCGCGATGGCGAAGCGATCCTCAAGCGATGGCTTTGTGGGCCGCTTGGTCTGAGGATCTACTTGGTTTATCAAGCTGTGCAAGGTTGTCAGGTTGTTCTGCACTGCGATCGAATTATCGTCAGTACCGTGAAGTGGGAGTCGGTACGCAAAGACGGTCCGCTCCTTCTCTGCATCATCCTTGTATCCCAGGCACTGGAGGGAGTATATCGTTGGTTGTGACACCTCAGCAGCCTCTTTCCCCTCGGAAAACGTGGCATTCTGGAGGAGCCAAGCCAGGTCCCGCAGTGGTGCCTTCAGTTCTGCGATCTCTTCTTCATCAAGATCATCATATCGCAGACGACGGTCATAGGGGCGAAATTCCAGGACTACCGGAGTTGATTGATCCTGATGAGTCCACGAACCCAAGTGGAATCCATCCGATGCGCTGTTGGACTCAGTAATGGTACCCTCGAGTTCTTGAAAATCAGCTGGCGCATGAAGAAATGCTAGTTGCTGTCGTTTGACCACCTCTTCTAGTCCCGTTCCTTGCACTTCGGTCGCTGCTGGCGGCGACTTCGCTGTGGAGCCATCCGTCAGGGTGTATAAGGCCTCCTGGGAGAAGTGCTGCATGAGGTCTCGCAGACTGTCTGTCCATTCTTTGTATTCGGCCAAGACACCCAGGAGTTTCTTCTTATCAAAGAGTGCCCAGTCGTATCCTTTCAGCTTGATTTCTTTGGCTTTGGCCTTAGTCCGATCGAGGAACGACTGTTTCCATTTTCCTCCCTTCGGCAGGGCATCGTCGCCGTGGTCTAGTGCTGCAGTCGAGGCATCCAAGATCTCATACTCTTTCACCAGAGCGCGATATTCAACCAACACGCGACCCATCTTCAGCAAGAGGTTACATATTGTCTCTCCGACCCAGTCGGGAAGCTGTCCTGGGAGCAGAAGACCGCGCTTTTTATCCAAGAACCGACGCTGGAAGAACTCCAACGATGTCAACTGCAGGTCCAATCGAAGCTGAATGGCGGCCCGATCATCGTCATAGGCTTTAACGTCTGAAATGACGCCCTTGATGAAGATGGTCACTTGGATGACTTGCTGGACTGCAGTGACTGCGGTACCATAGACATCCATTTTGGCCAGCCTCGTATGATATGTTAGCGTTTACCTAAAGAAATAGCAGATCAGCAAGGCAACTGGCAAGTATTAATATGCGGGCTGCCGCCAGAGCCACCACGCAGGGGCCCGAGACGAGTCATGTCGGCGGGTCTGACAGGTGGCCTAGCGCTGACGTGAGGAACCCCTGCGTCCCAGCTATACTGGAAACAGGTTTATCCTAGCTTGGAAAGGAAAATGTTAGGAGGATCATGAGGTACTAACATCGTATTCAAGGGGAGACGGGGAAAAAACTGATACAACAACCATTAACCCTTCTATAATCGTGACCTTTTTTACCCTACTATCGGGTGCCGCTGCTCCCGTCAACCAAATATATATCATTTCGGTGACGATTCTGCTTTTTCGACCCTGGACCCGAATTGTTAGTGAGTAGAACCGTTATCCGGGTTAAACAAAATCGTGATACTGAGTAGATCCATTGATCATCTTTGACAGCTGCAGAATTCCTAGGCGATGGTATTAGTGCCTGAGTTTCCATTTCCTTGTCATTGCCCGACCGATAAAAATACTAGTACTTGGGTTCGTTGGAGCTGCTGAATGTCATTGGTTGTGGGATACTGTTTCCCCCCACATTGGGTTGTTTAATTGGCCTCAAGATAGGAAAGTGCGGCCCGAGTAATAAACGAGCAGTGTGTTACTTGGGCTTCTTCTGTGATATGGCTTGAATAGGTGTAACTATTGACAGCCGATTACCTTGTTGTTCCTTCTCTCTCTTTTGCCGTCACTCCCCGCTTTCCCGGCGGCTGTCCTTTATTCGTGTTGATTCAAGTGCGCACAACAGGTCAATCACCGAGATCAATTCCCCACATCTCTTTCAATCGCCAATATCACCACTCTGGCCTCAATCGAAAAACCCAAAATCCTTCTTCTTTCTCTCGCATATCAAGACTTCCTCGATGGCACCTACTCCGGCCTCTTGAGCAGGCTCCTGTAGGTGGCCACCGTCAAGCGCGCAAAGGTAAATTCAGGGAATTCTTTGGGGTTTTGGTCTTCCCTGGAGTTATGGCGATTATCATCGCACAACATTCCAACTCAATCCATCCGTTCTCTTGCCTGACAACGTTGAGCTATCTTCATTGCCTAAGCCGTATAGAATGAAGGTGCTTCATGTCAAGTACGCTCGATCCGAGGACAAGCTCTATATTCCGACTGAGGGTGCGGTAAGGTAAAGTCTGGTTTAGGCTCCAACCTATGTGGATCAGACTCATGCTGCTCTGGTAGGGACCAGGCTCGGACAGGGGCATCTCTACTACTGTGGAGATTTGAACGGGAGGATGGACCAAACCAGCTGATGTTGTCCCTTTACGGGTTCTAGGGAGAATGGGGTGCCCATGAAAAATGATTCCGATGGTTAGCGGAAGATTTCAAGGCCAGGTATCTACACGCATCCGCTACTATGCTTATATCTTAGAGAAAGGAAAGGTAAAGTAGTTGGTTAACAGAAGAGAAGAGAAACATCACGATACAAGTCGGATCAACAGTACCACAAAGCAGTAAATCAAACAAGTTGAACCCGATCCAGCAATAAGAATGAAATAAGGAAAATATCTAGACTATAACTCGTGACCTCGCGGCGAATAACTTCACTTTGCCGCAGCCACTGCCTCGTATGAGTGGGGATAGCGTCAGCACTAGCGGTAGTGGGGGTGACGAGTGCGATGCACACGGCAAGGAAGGGAAGTCCATCCCGCTCTCGTCAACAGTTCATCCTGGCAACGGAAGAGGACTCGTCTTTTGACACAACCATCTTTTAATTCATGCGATGGATTTACTCGACGATGATGGCGCTGCACTACTGCAGGAGGCTCTTGATACCCTCGATGAAGAGCCCTTTGATGAATTGGTCCCTCTCGATCTGGATCTGGATGATAGCGGAGCCAGCATTTCTCCCGACGACCTCCTCGACAACACATCCGAGCCCCCAGATCTCGACCCGCTCAGCTTGGTTGACGGCGAAGAGTCCCATGATGAAAACAGTCTATCATCGACGGACCTACTGGAGGAACGAGTCACTGCCGTGCGGAATGGCGAGAATGCCTTGATGACCTCGGTGTCCGACTTTACCAGTATCCTGTCGCGAACCGGCATCCATGGACCACGTCATCTGCAAACCTATAATCTCAAGCGCCGCGCAGTCAAGATTGGCAGTGGCGGACAGTTTACAGTATACAAGGACATCCCAGGACGATTCTTTGGCAACGAAGGGTTGGTGATCAAACGCGTCAAAGTGTTTCTATCCCGTGAAGGAAACTCCAGCTTTGCCTCCGGCTCGGACTATCGTCAACGACTACGGTCTTTGGAGCTGGAAATACTTGCTTTATCCAACCCCTACCTCCGAAACCACCGTAACATTGCCAAACTCGTCGCCTGGGGATACGATTACCCTTATCCCGATACTCCAGTGCCCGTATTGTTCGTGGAGGAGGCGCTGATGACGCTTACTGACCTTCTCAAAATTGACAACGAGAGGTTACTTGGGTCGCATCCCCAGGATGTTAAGTATCAGCTCTTGCTAGATGCAGTGTCAGGACTCGAGGCGCTGCACCGGCTGCATATCGTCCATGGAGACGTCAAACCAGACAACATCTTAATCTACAAAGATTCTGCAGGGAATGAGAAAGTCCCGCTGTGCGCCAAGATCAGCGACTTTGGGGTCTGCGTCGATTTAGAGTCCCCTGAAGACAAGCTCACTATCGATAGTTACTATGGAACCGAGGACTGGCGGGCGCCTGAAGCTAGCGATTACGCCAGGTGGCAGGGCGACGCTTTCAACCCAGAAGTTATGTTCCGCTTCGATTCCTACAGCTTGGGATTGCTCATTCTATCCACCTTCATCAATCGTGGTGAGCCAGTAAAAGTGAAGATGCCTGGGGAAGAGCCGATTGAGGTTGCACTTTATTTGCTGAGAGAAGATGCGACCATCACTGGTCCACTTCGGATGCAAATAGGCAAAGCTCTCCGGCAGTTGCTGGCAACGGATCCCTGGAAACGCAGTCTGGCAAGTCCTGAACTGCTGAAGCTGGATATACCTGCATTTTCATCCTGGTAACTTCAGATACCCTTCACCGTCTAATCTCTATCGGAAGCCGTTGGCTGACGCACCCCCAGGCTTGCCGTGGCACAGGATACTCGCAAGGTCACTACTAATGTCGGCATCATTGACCCGGCGCACAACCAAGGCCCCAGGTTTTGGTACCGATTGGATCCCTCCCTCCTTGCAGAGCTGGAGCAGCAGTTTGCTGAATCCCAGAGCGACCAATCCTTGCGACATGCCGGTGACGTTCTGCTGGGTATGGCCCAGTGCATCACTGGAGCCAAGCCGTCGTATCTCGATCGCCTGCTCACCTACATCACTGAGGCTGCCAGAAGTGGCTATTCCCCGGCTCGAGCAGTATACTCGCAGGTCATGCATGCCCATGGCCAGACGCCGGCTTTCGACGAACAGACATTAGATAAGTGGTTGCTTCAAGCCGTGTCTGAGGGATACCTCTTTGCGTCACACTCGTCGAGGGTCACAGAGGAGCAGCTGCAGACCGCAAGGCAAACGTTTCGAGATGCAGGTGGCTTTTGCACAGATTCCTTTACTCGAAAGCCAGCTATCCTAGCTGTTGCTCAAGATAGGAAACGAGCAGAAGAGTGCCTTACAGCGAACAAGAGGGTCGTTGATATCAATGGCAATACGCTATTGCATGTCGCAGCAGCACTGGGCTCCATCGATGTGGTTCAATGGCTTGTGGAATCTTATACAATGCCAGTTGACGTAATAAACGACAATGGTGAAACACCGCTTTACAAGGCCTGTCAAGCTGGGCAGACAAACACGGTCCACTATCTTTTAGACAAAGGTGCAGCTTCCTCCATGACGACCCGGAGAGACAAGCTGACCCCTTTGCACTGGCTATTCATGTTTCCGGAGTGCTCTACAAGCAGCGTTGCGACTCGTTTTATCCGGGAGGGAGGCGCCAACGTTAATGCTTTGATGGTTCCAGAGAGAACCGAGGAAGGTGCATACGCGGCACGAAGGAACTTCATGTTTCATTAGTAAGTCCTCATTGGTTACCGTATAACCTCGACATGCCGCGGATACTGACCAAGACGTAAAAGCCCTTTTGAGCTACCCATGGGGACACCGTTCCATTGGGCAGCATTCGCTCGTAACATGCTAGCAATGGAGGTCCTATTGGAACTTGGTGCTGATGTCAATGCCACGTATCATGACTCAGACAATGCGACCACTGCCCTAGGTCTTGCCAGCTGGTACGGAGACATCGAAGTATTACGATTCCTCTTATCTAAAGGAGCGAACGGCGGAGCAAAGGATGCACGTGGAAGAAACATGCTTCACCTGATGACCTTCCATCAGCCAGAGTATCATGGTCCTCTACGGCAGGCATGGCATTACTGGATACGACACGGAAGTTGGGATAGTCATCTTCAGCAGATGACAGATATGGTTGCCGCACTTACTCTGGCGGGCGCGAGTCCCGAAGACCGAGACGAGGTATATCCTCGAACTACGGCTGTCGTGAGAGCGGCAGAAGATGGAGTCTGGAACGGAGGTGCATTGTGCGCTTTGATCAATGCCGGTGCGGATGTTGAAGGTCCTCGAGGAACTTCGAAGGATACTGGTGAGTAATTGTCAGGTGAAAAAAAGCACCCTACATGAGCTAATATCTCGTTTGCTCAAGTTCTCCATCAATGGGCTAGGATCACAGGCCCACGGCTCGCCTATACTGACTCATACCTTTACGTGCTGCAAAAGATAGTATCAAAGATGACATCTCTAGACATTCGGAATGATTTCGTCGAAGAGACTCCTCTTCACCTATTGGTGACAATTTATCACACCGAGGAAGAATTCCGGTCCGCCTGTGATATTCTCTTTGCCCACGATCCCCCACCCGATGTCAATTTGGGCGATCGACAAGGCCTTACTCCTCTGCTGATAGCCGCGGATACGAACCAAGTCACGCAGGATCCCGAACAACGTTTGTTTTATCTAATCGCCAATGGAGCTGATCTCGGAGCCCGTAACAGAGAGGACAAGGATGTCTTTTGCCTCTTGGCCAACAACAAGACTTTGAGTGACCAGCAGAGTCACGATATTATTCATCGCTTGTTGTCGCATCTGGCTAGCCTTGAAGGGTGTAGCATCGCACAGGCGTACAAAAAGCACTATCTTCCGCACAAGGGTGCCATCCTCAGTCTCAGCACAGCGGCTATGGCGGGAAGAGTGGAAACTACCACACTCCTGCTTGATGTTGGTCTCGACGAGGCCATCAACAATCTAATAAACCCGAGAGACCATAATACCGTCCTGGATAGCGCTATTTCGTCAGCAGAGCGAAGCCGACACATGCATCTCGATCTTCTGGCGGCGTACAGTCCGGGGGCACCACGAGCCCGTGCGCTTGCGGCCCAGACGGTGTTCGATCCGCGCCAGGGCCCACCGGCGCGTGCTGCCGAGGCCTACACAGGATTATCAGAGGTTGTGCGGCTCTTACGCGCCCGTGATGCAAAGCGAGCCTGTGAGCTAATGCCATCCTCTCACTCCGAAGTGAGTCAGGATCATCCTGATGTCTGGGATATCACCCAGATGTACTGGATCGGGTTTACCCCGGAAGCTCAGCCAAATAGAGAACGCTGGGAAATTGTTTATCAGCTTTCACATCTACCCTCGGTAGGCTGGCGAGAGACGGTCGTCGATAGTCTCAGAGATATGTACCAGTTCGACCTGTGGTGGCCAGATCTGGCCATGCTCGAGGCTAGCATCAATCTCGTCAATAAGCAGGATAAGGCTCTCGCTTCTGGTACAGTACTGATGTCGTCCACGTTTCCTTCCGGTACAAGTACGGAAGTAGTAGACGCCGAGCTGCTTGGGCAGATGCTTCGGATGCTCATTACGGCAAGGCACGACGCGGACGATGCCCAGACAACTGATGAGGTTGGTGATGATTCCACACCCGTGACCAAGTGGATCAGGATTCGCGAGGGGCGAAAGTATGACCGCAGTCCTGCATTCTCGGGTGAGCAAATACCCGAAGTGGAACTCGTGTGGGCAGACACTGGATTCCGGCTAGGTCAGAAGCGCGTGCGTCAGGTTAACTAAAAGAAGATAACTACCCGTATGGGCGTGATCTAGCATCTCACATTCGTCTTACAAATAAACTATAAACTTGATAAATTTCCCAGTTGCCGTATGATACAAGGTTGGGTGAATAATCTATGTACGCGAATATATACAGTCAAAAAACATATCATAATTGCTCATGGCTTCGTGGAAGGAAAGTTGCCAGTGCCCAGAATATCTCCGTCGCTCTCCTGTCCGTTCAGGGCGCGGTCGATCCGGAACTGGGTCGTCTTGAAGAGTCGAGGCATAGCCGTCTCTTCAAAGGGGATCTTCTCCACCACCATGCGCGCAAGCTCCTGTGCCGATCGCCAAATCACCGGCATGCCGTGACCATTCAATCCCGCCAGGATAAACTGATCGTCCTTTCCGGGCACAGCTCCAATGTGCGGGTTCGAATCATACGAGTATCCCATGACACCTGTCCAGATTTGATCGACCTTCGCCCCGCTATCTTCCCATCCACGGTACGTCCGTTGCATGTAATCGTTGTAGTAGTCCTTGGCTGAGTCAATGAGAACGGTATCGTCGACATTGTTGTACCATTGCTCCTTGTATGAGCGGAACTTGGCGGCTGCACCACCGACAACGATGCTACCATCCGGACGAGGGATCAAGTAGGAGAGGGTGTTGTCTTCGGTGCGGTTGATGTAGGAGTTGTTCAACAGAGGTGCGGTCTTCCCCTCTGGCACAGTAATGCGACAACAGATACCCTTGCAGGGCACAATATTCTTCTCGTACTCGGGAAGCAGACCGGCCACGTAAGCATTACTGGCGTGCACAACCGTTCCTGCGTGCATGTTTCCGCGGGACGTTTCAATGGTATAGCCGCCCTCTGGGCTGGCGGTTATGGAGGTAGCAGGGGTAAATGTTTGCAGATTGACCTTGCCCGTAGCGAGGACAGATTGGAGAATGTGTAGGATGAATTTGTACGGCCACATGGTGCCCGCCGTGAAGGAGGCGCAGGCTTTGGCACCTTTCACACCACAGATCTGTTTGGTCAGCATGCGCTATCTCATTCTGAAACTGATTGGTACTCACTCCCTCCACATTCTTTCCTGTGTAAAACACCACATCATTCATATACTCCAGATCCAGGGACTTCATGAGCTCATATGTGCCCTTTGCCTTCTGCGCCGCCTCCTCGTTGCACCAGACATCAATAGATCGCGCAAGCGTAAAGTCGCAGTCAATTTTCTCATCCTCAACGACCTTCTTCAACGCATGCAGATTGGCAATCTCGAATTCAGCAATTTCTGCGCCAGCGCGAACACCTGCGCGGTCGACGTATGTTGGAATGTGGCCGTAGAAGTCCGGACGGAGATGTCCGCCATTGCGACCTGTCGCACCGGAGCAGGCTCCGCGAGCCTCTAAGATCGTAATGGACTTGATCTTCTCGCCGTGGTCACGCAGCAGATGGTATGCAGTGCTAGCTCCGGCGTAGCCGGCGCCGATGATCACGATGTCCGCGTGATCGGGGAGCTGCTCAGTTGAGCGGTGATCATGCAATTGATGCGGCTCATTCTGCCAGAAACATTCGCCAGGGTTAGGAACGGGGAAACAGCCAGCTGCAGCCATGATGAAGGTGTGTTCAATCACAAAAACGATGAGAGAAGCGGTTAAGAATTGAAAAACTGGAACGCGACCGTGTTTTCTGGGCGGACGATAAGGGAGTCTTATCTGATGCTATCGCATCGTATCTGATTCCACACCGGACCGGACTTTCCTATCGCGGACTAGCGCCAATCTTATCGGTCGCGCCGGGACTGTCCCCTTTGGGCAGTTGGGGCCGGTAGGGAGGGATGCACTGGAGGCACAGCGACACGGTGAGGAGCAGGGCTTCACGATGGATCATCCCTGCGCTGGACCAACGAGATGATGGCGATTTGCAATGCGGGGAGTTGGGCATCAGACATATACAAGGTCGCCCAATGCCAATTTCCGAATCGCATTCATAATTCTGGCCCAGGGTAGGTTGTTTCATACACATCCCGGCCGCATCATGGACGGTTCCTTCAGTTCAGAGAAAAAGACCCCCTACCAGACCGATGAAGAGAATGGGGACCTTGAGGCCGTACCCGGCCACCTCGACGAGGCCCAAGTCTTCCAGCAGGGCCTGCACCAACGACATATTCAGATGATCGCCCTGGCCGGGACAATTGGCACAGGGCTGTTTCTGAGTTCAGGTCGCGCCATCGCTCATGCAGGACCGTTGGGAGGGTTCCTGGCGTACAGCATCATGGGGCTGTTAGTGTCCAGTGTGGTGTTTGCGGTGGGAGAGATGGGTGCCTTGGTGCCGTTGGCCGGCGGCGTGATTCGCTACGCAGAGATCTTCGTCGACCCCGCCCTAGCCTTCGCCAACGGATGGAATCAAATATATTCCTACCTCGTTTCGATTCCGTCGGAAATTGTCGCCGCTGCTGTGGTAATTGAATTCTGGACGACCATCAACAATGCCGTTTGGATTACTGTTTTTGGGCTATTGATGTTGATCACGGCCCTGGTGTTTGTGCGTGTGTATGGTGAGCTTGAGTTCGGTTTCTCCATCCTCAAGATTATGCTTGTGATCGGCATCAATATCATGGCCCTCGTTATAACATGTGGCGGTGGTCCAAACCATGTCAGTATCGGCTTCCGCTACTGGCGCGACCCGGGTCCGTTCGTACAATATCTGGGCATCGGCGGCTCCTTGGGACGGTTCCTCGGATTCTGGACAGCCCTGAACAGTGCGCTCTACTCCTACTCTGGTATCGAAAACATCACAGTTGCAGCATCTGAAACGCGAAACCCACGTCGATCCATTCCCATGGCCGCCCGTCGCATCTTCGTCCGAATCATACTCTTCTACGTGTTGACCATCTTCATGATCGGACTGGTGGTTCCCTCCGACGATCCCAACCTGCTCGGCTCCTCAGGCACAGCCTCCGAATCTCCCTTTGTCATTGCGGCGCGCAATGCGGGCATTAAAGTGGTGCCTTCGATAATCAACGCGGTGGTGCTGACGTCGGCTTGGTCATCTGGAAACTCGAACATGCTGGGAGGATCGCGCGTGATCTACGCCATGGCAGCAGAGGGTCATGCACCGAAATTCTTCATGCGCATGAACCGGTTCGGCATTCCGTATGTGGCGGTGACACTATTGGGAGTATTCATGGCGCTGGGATACATGACGTTGTCCAGCTCAGCCAGCACGGTCTTCACTTGGCTGCAGGACATTGTGTCCATCGCGACATTAGTCAACTGGGGCATCATTTGTATTGTGTACCTTAGGTTCTACTACGCATGCAAGAAGCAAGGGATCGATCGTCACAAGGAATTGCCGTGGGCGGCGCCGTTCCAGCCATGGAGTACATGGATCACGCTGGTGCTGTTTTGCCTGCTGTTTCTAACGGGCGGGTACGAGACGTTTATTCACGGGGAATGGGATACCGAGACTTTCATCTCTTCATACTTGAATGTCCCCATTATTTTTGTGCTGTACTTTGGGTACAAGTGGTGGATGAAATCGAAGATTATTCCGCTGGAGGATGTGCCAGTGCGGCCGTTCATCGAGCATTACCAGAGGAACCCGGAGCCGGAGCCAAAACCTAAACGGGGGCTACAGCGGTTGAATATTCTATGGGGGTAATGTATATATAGGTGTTTCTATAATGTTCAATAGCATTGTGTATTAGCCAACAGTCGTTCTCTATTACTGCTTATTTTCAACAAATATATTTTCACTGCTAGGAGACTTCCGCCAAGCCTGTATACAAGGTACTGGATCCCAGATTGCGTTCTAGCAAACAGCCATTGAGCATCATACTACATAGTAGAGCCCCATTGAATTTGAATACTAGTCAGGCTAAATTAAGCAATTAAAAGTAGTTCCGACATACAACAGGTAGTTCGGTGTATTCTCAATTCAAGTTGGCTATCAAAATGTGGTGTCAGCACGATAACTACGCCGGCTATCAACACGCCTTATCAACACGTTATCAAGTATCAGCGCCTGGTCGCATATCGCCAATTTCCCCTGAATTAAACTGCGCTTAGACCTACTCTAGTCCACGTCTAGCGCATGTCAGCTGTCCTGTATCTGCAAATGCGACCGGCCCGGCCTACTGAAATGGGCAAAGTTGGTGCCCCTCGCCCGGTATCGGCGGACACCCACCACATCCCAACTACTAGCACTATTTGATGCCACGCAGTTCCCCGCGATAACGCGTCTACCCCTCAATAACCGCGATACCACACAAACCCTTTCTCCCTCCCCTCCATCCTCAATTACTTACTTCTCACTCACACAACACAAACAACATGCCCAACCACGTCGTCTTCGACGTCGTCGGCACCTGCGTGTCCTTCGATGCCTTCTACGCCACCATCGAGCGCACGCTCGGCCCCCAACTCAAGGCGCACAACATCACCGCCCAAACCCTGGGATTCACATGGATGACCTACGCTGAACTCCAATTCACCTTCCTTTCCATTTCTGAAAGCTACAAGCCCTACAAAATCGTCATCACCGAACTCTTCTACCAAACCCTCGCCATAATCGGCATCTCCGACCCGCACAGCTTCGCCACCCCCGAACAACGCGACGCCTGTGTAGCCGGATACGCCGCTCTCGAGCTCCGTCCCGGCGCACGCGAATGCTTCGCCAAGCTCCGCGACGCTGGGTTCACGGTCTGGTGTTTGACGACGGGCGATACGCAGCGGGTGCGCGGATACTTTGAGCGGGCGGGCGTGGACATGCCCTTGGAGAATTTCCTGACCTGCGATACGGCGGGCGTGGCGAAACCGGCGTTGGCGGCGTATCGGCCCGCGTGGGAGAGGTTGGGTAATGAGGGTGGGGAGAAGTGGTTTGCTGCCGCGCATTTATGGGATGTCACTGCTGCTACGAAGGTTGGGTTCCGCGGTGCTTATTGTACGGTTTATGAGAAGGAGGGGGCTTTCAAGGTGTTTGATGCGCCGTTGGATGTGGTGTCGGAGTCGTTACCTGAGATGGCGGAGAAGATTATTGCTGCGTCGAAATAATGAATTGATGGTATGGAATCAGTATGTTACATGATTATTGTAGTGTAGTGTAGTGTAGAGTAGGCTATGGGAGATCAACATGCGTCCAGATCGGATCTAAACTCGACCCGGCCAGGAACTCTTCCAGCACTTGGGTCTCCGTGCGGGTGGGCCAGGTTGCGGACGGCGATAGATTGGCGCCGCCGAAGATGGAGAGATCCAGGGTTGGATCGAACGGGGGCAGCTGCTCCATTCCATCCAGCGGAACCGTCCACGGCTCGACTGTGTCAGGGTGCGGTGGGGCCGCTTCGGATGCAGGTTTTTTGCACGTTGTTCCCCAGTTTCGAAAGGCCTCGTAGTCGGACACCAGTCCTGTCGATTCTGCAGCTGGCTCTGGTCGCTGGGCCACTGTGTGCAGACGCGCCAGCGATCTCTCCAACGCTTCAAGTAGGGATACTTCTGATCGTGCAGAATCACCCGCTGCGGACATCTCCCGGAGCAAGGCGAGCCCCTCGCGCATGGGCTGACGCAAGGCATCTGACAGATTCTGCACGGAGAATGCGATGAGTACCAGTAGAGCAGCCCTACATGCGCTGTACTCCAGGTAGGACGCTCGTGCCAGTCCTGGTCCGTGATCGCGGAGCTGGCGACAGATCTCGAGTGCCTCCTGAGCGGCTTGGATGCAATCCCCGATGAGACTGTCTCGGTCGGAAGGCTGGAAGTACGATTCCTCAGAACACGCTTGGGGGTTTGCATTCGGATGAGTAGCAGACTCCTTGCGGAGAAGGAATGGGCGACCGATGAACATGCGCAGCAGACATGATTCCAAACACAGGTGCATGACGGCGCGATTCGGTTGGTGTCCTGCCCGGACCGGATTGACGAGTGTGTCAGAGATGCCTGCCCACCAGCGATTCCAGGACTCTTTGCGGGCTATTAGCTGGCCTATGACGACTGGCAGCCCTGCTGGTTGGGCGTGTCTCAGACGCGATCTGTAAACCGATCAGTAAGAGAACTATCACACAGGTGGTTGGGTGTCGCACATGTCATGGAGAAACTCCTCCAGCCAGTCTAGCATTTGAATTGAAATCACCGCACACTGCGGGCTCCAGGCGGACTGTGTCTGGCCCATGTCTGCGCGAGCCTGGGGGAGGTCTGCATCCACATCCCCGCGATGCACGGACAAGGGTCGTCCGTGGAAGATCGAGATTAACCTACGATATATTAGCGTAGTTTAGCAGCAGCAGTGGACATCACAGACCTCTCCAAGGAATACGCGGTCCACCAGACACGGTTCCGCGTCTCCATCATCACCGGGCTAAACGCATCCCGGCGGCATTTCCGATGCATGCCGTTTTGCATAGCCAGACGCACCGCCAGGTTAACGTAAATGTAACCAAGCCCAGAGGCATCCACTGGAAGAGCATAGAATCCGAGTAGTAGACATGCCTGTACGCTCTCCAAGCAGGACAGCTCGATTATTTCCGGTAATAGTCTGATAGACTGTTCATAGAATCGCACCCCGATATCTTCCTCGGAGAAGGACGTCTGATTCTTGGGATCTCGGTCACTAGGGGACTCCAGATGAGCGTACTGAGTTCCGATCGCGAGCACAGAGAGCAGAATGCTGGCGACAGCGGCAGCCGTGTCTCCGAGACTCGCGGGGTCCGTGTATAGTCGGTGGATGCGGTCCAACAGCCAGTCTTCATCTACCAGAAACCAATGTGTGGCGGCATATTTGAGAAAGGTCTTGACAAGGAAGCCAGTAATCGGACGAGGGGGAAAGCATGCCAGCGCTGCTGATAAGTGTTCGTTGGTCTTGAGATGTTGGGCTCGCCAGTATCCTGAAACACGGTCGGGGCTCTTGGTCCGCATGCGACTTTGGATGCGCTGCTTGATGCGCATGGAAAAATTCCAGTAGGAGAATTCCCCAGAGAAGTCTATGATGTCTTAGCTATTATCCAAGCCGGTTACTGCCAGAGCAAGACGCACGTGTAGTGGTGTCACCCACCGGGTCGATAGTACAATCCTCTTCCTCCAAAGCGAGTCCAGTCGGGCTAGTGACTTCTGCATGATCCGAACCTTTGCCGGTAGTGAAGGAGTTGGCCAGGCGGGCAAGGCTCTTCGTGTCGAGCTCGATACCCTCGATCGTGTGCTTCAAGATCTGTTCCATGTACCTGCATCGGTCCAGCAACTCCTGTACCTCCGACTTGGCTGGCCGTGTTCTGCAGGAATAATTAGCGTGCCGTTGTGCCCAGATAGCAGATGAACTCGCCTGGGGACGTAAGCGCGAAAATCTCGGGCGCGCGACGCGAGGGCTTTGGATTCACAGGGACGTCGGAAATGGGCGCATCGTCGACAGGGGATTCCTCCTTCGCATTTTTCCTTCAAGCGGCGACATTCGTCGCATCTGCAGTGCTTTTAGTGAGCTGGTTATCTGGAACAACGACATTGGTGTGGATCGTGTCGATAACTTACGCGCGGGCAGATCGACGGCCTTCCGCCATGAATGTTTAGGTGTCCTTGACTGAACCCTACGATGAGAAATGAAGAGGTGAATGTGTCAAAGCACCAGAGACGGGCTACAATCCGGACATATACGCTAACAGCTGCTCCGATGCTTCTCCGCACGCGATAAGCTGCGATAGACAACCCCCGCAAGGGCCATCCTGCTGACCGGCACTTCTTTCGCCGCGGTTGGTCTGTTATCGCCGCCAGTGGGTCGGCTTGGAATGCAAGATAAGCTGTTCCCCACAAGCTGTGCTCTTATTCCTTAGTGTACTAACGCCTGCTAAGAGGAGCAGATGACTGGCCATCTGGCTAAAGTGACTGAAGATTATAAATATTTTCTAATTCATACGAGATGCAGAATCAATTAATTGAGGCGTATAAGGGCGTCAAACAGCATCTTCCCCTCCTCCTGGTCTCTGATGCGGAATAATCACAATTCTATCAGCGATTGAATCACTCCGTCTGTCAAGCAGCAGTTTATCAATCTGTCGATACATTAGTCCCTATTGATAGAGGCGATGGCGTTCCAGCAAAAGGGCCCTTGCGACACGCCGTGTCCGACTCGTCGGCGTGACTACTGTTGACTCGCACAGTTTGAGTGAATACGATTTTTGAGTCCTCTACCTCCACCGCTTCAGTCTGTGACGGTCGGGATAACAGACGAGGCATCTTGTCACGCAACCGTGTCAAGGAAAGGAACAGTGGTCGCATATTCGACAGGCAAGAGGCTGTTATACCCACAGCGGGTTCAATGCAGGTCCATACACTGGCTGGTACTTGGTCATCTGTCATGGCGCATCTCCTGTCAGTCGAGTACATACAACTCAGTTGGACTTATTAAGTCTTACAGGTAATATCGCTGCCGGCCTTTGAAAGCTCAATTAGTGTCACCAGGCGTACAATATCAAAGGCAAGCGTTCTAATGATGGCATATCCATGTCAGCAACAGTAATCCGAATAGCCGCGAGTGAGAATTCTCACAAAGCACCAAGGCAGAAGATGCCTGTCAACATAATCTTTTGCGCACGTGGCACCTGAAGGTTCCATACGTGTTTCATCGGTAGAGCCAGAATGACGGCGTCAGTCACGATGTTAGGAATCTGGAGCCCATAGTAAAATTTGGCCAGGTCGATGCATCCGCCGGGAATTGTCGGATTCCAGAGCTTCTCCAGTGGAATACATACGACGCCCCCAATCAGACATACCCCAAAGCACCACAATATTACAATTGCCCCCACGGAGTTAGCCGCTAGGATCATCGGTCGGATGGAAAAGATTCGCTTGTATAGTGCGAGGATAGAGAGCTTCGTGAATGCGATGCATAGTGTGTAGAGGAAGCTGCCGCTGGCTAGAGTCTGGGTAGATCGTCAGCTCAGTAGCACAGGGGTGCAAGCGGAGTAATATCACCAACCTTCAAATACACTACTAAATCCGAAGGAGGAACGTAGATGATGTGAGTGCCCAGTCCGTTATACAGCACTGCCATACATTAACTCAGAGGGGTTCTAGTGTAGTTGTCATTCCATCTGGGAGTTACGCACAGACAACTCCAGCCAGTGACACTGCGTATTCGAAGACCTACCACCAGCATCCACTGTCAGCATTACCTGGACGAAGTTTGGGGGTTTTCGAAGGCCAGGACCTACCAATGCCACGATTATAAGGTAGTCATCGAAGAAGACCTTGGTGCCCGTGATCTTGCGACAGTACAGACGCAGTGCAACTGACACCGTAGAAAGGATCAACGCAAAGCAAGTCGCAGTAATCACGACATGCCGCAGGTTGTCATGGTCATATCCAAGATCACCAGTCTCAGATGCCGCCATCGTGAGTGTAAGTCAGCTATGACAGGACGACTGTCTAGTGTAGCAGGGGAGTATGATCTGCCTTCAAGACAGTGGGCAACCCCAAGCTAAAAGAGATGTCATTTTACGAGTGTCAGGAGTGTCAGTGGTACGTGAATCTACATCTCGATCGCAAGGGTGCTGATTGATGTCATCAATGATGGTTGCAGAACCTCTGCTGCAGTGTATTATTGGCAGCCATGGCAATTAGTACAGCCACCCGCCGATCGAGCCAAGTAGGGTGTCGTGATTGAAGGTACCCTCGCTCAAAATGGCAAATTCTGCATCACCTGTCAGCTGTCGGCAAATGCCATCCATCAGTTAGCCCCCTTGCAGGAAAGCCACGCTCAACAATTCCAGGTCAGTGGTTTGCAGACCTGTCACATTGCCGAGCTAGGACTATGTCTAGTATCATCAGCGACCGAACGCCCCTCTCAAAATAATGTTCATGTTTGCTACCTAGATCGTCGCGTGGGAACAACTACTGGGAAAGGAAGGCTTTGTAGCAGGACCGAAACACAGTATAAGTGAGGCTAAAGACAAGTTCTAGGAACGAGTATCGATTTGGCGACTTGCTATGCAACTCCACATTGGGCCTGGTCTACCCACTGTCGATCTTTCCATCGGCGAGAACTTGGCCCCAAGGGAGAGGTGACTTATGTTACTCAATTCGTTCATTCCCGTTACCTTCCACAAAACCCTTTGGCAAATGGTGGGTGTACTTATAGGAGCCTAATAATCAAATGTGACAGGAAACAATCGGTCTTTGCCATGTGGTACGGCCTGCGATATCACTTATAAAACCAGTTTATCAACAACCAATGAGAGCAGCTATTTGACTTGAGCCGAAATGGGGCGCAAGCTCGAAGGGAAAGGATCCTGTTCTACGAAATCACCAAACGCAGCAGCTCTCTCAAACAGAAATAGAAGTCCTCTCGATCCAAAGAATTAACCTACGCCAACCATTCCCTAATCCACTTTCTCAGCCACTCAGCCCGTACGCCCTCCACCTCGCGTAACTTCCTACTCATCTTCGCAGTGTGCACCGACTCAAAGCTAATTGGTTGAGTGTGTTCTGTTTTCAAACCCTCAAAGAAATCTAACAGTTTGGCAGCCGGGTTCTGCTCCAACAGTGCCTGCAACTCCTTTCCACCCAACCCTTTGCCATTCTTAGTATCAGCCGAGAAGCTAACACTGGCTGCCTCGATATCACGCCGGACACGCTGCACCCACTCGCACAATGGGATGGTTTCAATCGTCTTCCCGGTGTTGTCCTTGCCCTGCGCGAGAAGGGCGTCGGCGACGATGGGCCGTATCAAATCCCAGGATTGGGAGTGGAGGTTGACGGGATGGTAGACTTGGACCGCCCAGGGCGAACCGGTAGCAGAAGGGCAGCCATGATTATCGGCAGCACCAAGAGCTAGCTCAACTAGTACTTCGGCTAGAAGATCAACAGGTACCCAGTCTATCCGGTCCATCAGACCCAGGGTATCGGGGAGAGCCTGGAGGTGTCGTGAGCTCTGAACAAGCCTCGGGAACCACTCCGCACGGTTCCAGAGGCCGGGAGATCGCACAGCGCCTGCGACTTGGCCTACTCGAGCGAAGGAGAAGGATGGGGCATCTCGTGCTCGCTTGGAATCATTTTGTTGCTCTTCCTGCTGCTTTGTAGCGTAGTTAAGCAGATGTTCGGCAATGTATTTACTGTTAGCGTAGCCATTCGGGGCGGGAGTGGTGGTTGTAAGGACGGTCTCGGGTAGCAGGCCAGACTCGCTATTACGATGGCCCATGACCGAGCTGATGGATGAGAGGAAGAATAGATGCGGAGATTGTGGGCTGCGGGTCGCAAAGTTGATCAGGTTCACCACGCCCTGTATGTGGGGTTTGAAGGTTTCTAGGGGGAGGTTGAAGTTCACGGTCCAGGCGTTGTGGATGATTAGCGTGGCGGTTTGCTGCAGCTGGGTGTAGACATCGGGCTCTAGACCCAAATCGCCGTCCTGGCTTAGGTCCGCGGTCCGAAAGCTTAAACGCCCTTCGTTATCAGCCAGTGGGGTGAGGCCATACTCCCTGATGCGGTTGTGTTGTCTCTCACGAGCATGGTCCCCTCGGTTCAGGCAGTGGACGTGCGCCACAGAGGGGTCTCTCAGGAGTGCATCCAGGATATAAGTTCCTAGCTGGCCAGTGGAGCCGGTGAGGATCACAGTGTGCTTTGCGGGGCTTGTGGTGTTGGCAGTGTGAATGGCGGCAAGGCTGGGCTGTTCGATTTGACTGGTGAATAGCTCCAGTAATTTGCCCCGCTCCTGAAGGAGACCTTGTTGTTGAACTTCTGTAGACTGTTTGCCCTGCTCGTCCAGCTGTTGAACTGCTTGGGTAAACTCCGTTATCGAGGGGTGCAAATATATTAAGCTAGGCGTCAGAGTTGGTAGATTGAGACCTTGCTTGAGCACACGCGTCATCGTTATTGCCTGCAACGAGTCCATTCCTAGAGTGAACCAACTTTCTGTGTCGGACAGCCTCTCCGCACTCCAACCCGTAATGGCCAGGAGAGACGCGCGGATGAACGCAGCAACCTTGACGACATCGTCCACAGCCCCGGGACCTGGTGTTTCGCCAGCGTCATGCTGGGCCAGCTTCTCGGCGTCCGCGTAGAGGGCATCGAGCTCTGCTGCGTACATCGCCAAAGTACTTGCGCGTTGTACGGTGCCCTTTCCGGCACGCAGCATGGGCTTCTCCGGAGTGGTGAAAAGAATGTGGCTCTTGGCGATACGGGCATGGGCTGGACACTCCTTGTTTGCCTGCTGTATGCTGGGCCAGAGTTTTTCAATGGCAGCGGCCCGGTCGCTCGTGCTCAGTCCTACTTCTGAGCGGCCCAATTCAACGATGAGAGCGGCTTGAAAGCGTTGTGCTCCCGCAACCAGAGCCCCTGTCACCTCAGGATTAGAGGCGAGTATGTGCCCCTCCATTGAGACGGGATTTGTCTTTTCGCCATTGAGGAAAACAATCACATCATCCAACCTTGCAGACGGCCGCCAGAGGTCTGACTTGGCGGGATCCGGGTGGCGCAGCATCAGGTCGTTGGTATGATATTCCTGATGGTCGGGGAAGATTGAAAAGGGAAATTGGTGACCCTCGCGCTCTGGAGTGCGCACCAACACCGCCTCATACTCGTCCCCGGACACATGCCGAAATTCAACGCCCAGCTGTGGATGGAAGTGAAGATACCGCCAGTCTTTGAGGGGATCCCATCTACCCGTTGCGTGGATCACATTCAAGATTCCCAGCTCGGAAGCGCCATAGCCGTTCACAATTCTCAGCTTGCGGGCTACTATGTCCCCGACAGGCTGGGGCAGATCCCCGCCACAATACATCATGTACTCCAGATGGTTGCCGCAGTACTCCAGCAGATCAGCCGATTGGGACAATTCCAGTACGATTGATGGGACAACAATTGCCCAGTCAAACGGGGTCTGCTTCCTCGCCGCTACCATCCCGGTCGCGCTGGGAAGACCGGCAGCAGTAGGCATTATCAGGGTGATATCAACAGGCATGGTAATGAAAAGAATATGCCCTAGACCAGCGGCCTACAGTCGCAGTTAGCAGATGCAGTGCACTATATTTGTGAAAATCTTACATGAAAAGGAGGCAAAGAGAGATACATGCGCTTGCCGAACCCCCAGCTGTCCTGGCCTTCGCAGCCAGCGGGTATATCGAGTCTTTGCATATGCATATGCTTGGCGGCACTGTCATGGGTCCAGATGATGGGCTTAGGAATTCCCGTTGACCCGGATGTGTGAAGAATAACCAATCGATCATGTGCTGCTGCAGAATATGTTTTGTGATAAGGAAAGACCGGATACTCAGTGGCGAGTAGTTCCGCCATACTAGGAACATCAGCAACCTTCACTGAGTGGGCGTCGACAATTCCCGCGATGAATGGCGGCCGTGGTGAAGGGGTCAGGAGTGTCGCGCACCCGAGTTTAGTGAATAGCGACTGATGGGCCACTGCACTGTTGCGCGGCGACGTAAGAAACATCTGTTAATACACCCATGTCAGCAGGTTCCCCGGAAACCGCACTACGTAAACGGGCCATCCTACACAGTATCCAGCCTTGACTGCGCCCAAAACCAATGCCGGGTATCGCAAGTCACTCGGTCCAAGGTAGGCCAAAGTTTCTCCTGTTCCAGGGCCCAGGGTCTTTGTCAGCCCGCCAGCGACACCATTGATAGCGTTGGCCAAAGCTTTGTAGGTGATTGGCCTGTAGCCTTCCTCATAGGTCATAGAGTTCACCGGGTATTCTGCATAGATGGCATCTGGCTTGACCTGGGCATAGTAGTCAAAGATGTTGGGAAGTAGCTCCGAGCGCGGATCATAGCCGGAAGAGGGAGTCCAAGTTGTCATGATAGGCAGCGAAGTAGTGGTCAAAGAAGAGAGAAAGGAGATTGAAATCTCGGTGATGGCGATGATGATGTTTCAGAGACCGATATCGTTTGAGGCCAACCAGGGGAGAACCGTGTCTTTATAAGCCCAAACGCAGAAAGGAAGGTGAAAGTAGGGAATTAACCGGGGCAGTGAACATATGGATGGTGAGCGCTGGATTGGGCGGCCTTGCTGAGGTTGGCGAAGCACAACGTTCAGGAAATTTCCGTTTGCCCTCAGCAGTCCTTGTATGTATCGGAATGACTAGAAAACATGCAGGGGTTTTCTTTGTCCCATCCAACAGGATCCACCATAATTATGGATACCTGCCAACCCAACCCACTTGGCATATGTAAATACCCTAGCTAGCTGCGGCTATCCTTGCCATTGACCAAGCCCATTCAATTAAGACAAGGTGAACATATGGTCTATAACAATAGCACGCGTGGAAAATCGGACAGCAGCGAATACAAAATGACCGGCCCCACTTGGTTGTCTCCATCATTCACTATCACATCGCCATCAAGCGAATCGCAGCGTTTGTCAACTTAGCATTGCCACTAGGTGTAGCATGCATCCAGTTTCTTTCACAGGAGGGGGGTAAATAATTTTAGACAGCGATTTGGCAGACAAGCGTTCGTAAATTCGCAGAAAAGCCTGGGTCGCTTCGAAGACCATGGGCGACCACCGATTGAGAGGACTGTTCTAACTTTTGTACCAGGAGCTTTAACGGTACATAAATCGCATCGTGATCATATGGGTGCTGGTTGCTATAATTAGCAATGATACTAGAACGTCTGCGGACGTGTGTTATTGGCAGCCATAGCAAGTGGTAGTTCAACTATCCGCTGCTCTAAATGAGCTAGAAGTAGCTCAAGTTTGACAGTGTTCTACATGAAGACGACAAGTATGCAAAATTTATTGGCTGCTCAGCTGTGCTTCCAGTCCATCGGGGTGGCCTCTACATTATGTCTGTCCATCGGTTCGTCCTAGTTTCCGTGCAGCAGACCCGTGAAGGCCGGATTTACCGACTCGAAAGCCCGCATAACGGCCATGGTAACTACCGGGTACCCCATTATAGCATCATGCAAGCCAGTCTTCAGGATCTGCTCCCGGATGATGCCATTGTCGGTCTTCCATTCCACGACAGTACCAGCAGCGCCAAGGTCTACTTTGGTGTCTGGTTTCTTGAGCTCTAGCTCATCGTAGCTGATGCCTCCAGGTACAGCTCCTCGGACTGCATGCCAGAACACGGCTTGGCTGTGGTGCGAGGGGATGTCGTAGTCGTCTTCCGCATGGATGATGGTAAGATAGTATCTTTGCCTGTTTACTTCGTTGGCCCGTACGTACTCGGCAATGCGATTCTTGCTCAGCCAGTTGTCCCGAATAAAGCGCTGCAGGGATTCGAAAAGCCATGGGAAGCGCGCAAGTGGAGACAGGATCGGAATGATGCCCGCCACACGATAGGTTGAAACCAAAGTCACAACATCGACAAACGGGGCCACCAGCACGGTACCAGCAAATACCACGGGTGGAAATTGGACAGCAAGGTCGCGGGTGATGGCGAGGCTGACTGCAGTCCCCATAGACTGACCGAAGATGAGAATGCGAGAGGGGGGAATGCCAGCGACCGTCATGGCCCAGTCGACGACCGCACGGGCGTCAGTGATCAGGCCCGCCTCCGAGGGTTGACCAGTACTCCGCCCAAATCCCCGATAATCAAAAGTGAGAACGTGGATTTTCTCCGGCTGGCCAGCGGACAGCGCCCGGTAGTTAGGAACGCGATATCCCGAACCCACTGTGCCCCCGGCACCATGCATGTGCAAGATCAGACGAGCTTCAGGATCGTCGCGCAGAAGCTGGAAGGAGAGCCGGGAGGTAATGTTGGAGACCAATCCTGCGGGCTCCGCGACCAGGGATTGTTCGTGTTGACGGTACAGTTCCACGGGCAGGATGTGCCAGGCGTAAAGCTGCTCCCCATCAGGAGTCGAAATTATAAAAGGGGTGACTTGATTGCGTAGAAAGCCAAAGGTTTCAGGAACATTGAGGTCCTTGAACCAGGTCATTTCGATGGCATGCAGATACACCACGTGGGATTGGAATGTTTGCGTTGTCAGTAGGGCCAACAGCGTCGCGTATAAGCCGACCGCGATGGCGGCCGAAAAAGAAGCATACTTGAGTAAAGAGGCCAAAAGGTTACTGGCCGCCATGATGAAGCTGTAATTATTTCAGCACTCAGATAAGTGATAGACAGATCGTAGGATGGGTGCAAAGATCTGGGGGTCAACGGAAATAAGGGGTTTTTCGAGGGATCATGAATAGTCATAACAAACATCCCTGTGCTGCCGAGCGGCTTTTGCGACCGTCAGGTTGGCTGCGCTGCGGTCGCCTGTGTACCATCCGGAGATGGTCATCGCGGCTGTAATCTGCACAGCTGGGATGGGAGGTTTAGTTCCACAGTTTGACAAGAATGTCGTTGAGTGAAGATGAGTACTCTATTTTTTTCGTCCGATGAGAGATGGGAGCAAAGGGCAAGAAAAATCTACGGAACAGATTACTGGCAGCTGGCAGGCGTCATTGATGCCTGAGGCATAAAAGGCATGCGCCCCAAGACAGTCAATTCTGTCAACAAAGTCGGCAGGAGAAGAGCAGTAAACAATTATCAAACGATGGTCTGTCTCAAATTTTCATCTGATGAACATGCACAACTAGTAGTACTAAGAGCTGTGGTAGCCAGGCGCCTTTCTTCTGGCTGTCCTGCGGCAAACTACGACTCAACTTTATATATCACAACTGACTAGTACTACTTGTGTGCTACTCTCGGTATTTACTAGTAACTTCACCCTGTTGTCCACTCCGCAATTGCCCATGGCTTACCACCATGTCTGGTGGAACTATTTTCATTCTTGTGTCAAAGCTTGTTCATATCTAGGTATAATTCGGATTGTTCAATCGGAGCCAATGTACCTTGATTATCTCGTATATTCATTCCATCCTTCCAGCCTCTCGGGCCCCCGATGAGACCGATACGCCGAAGACCGAACACATGAGCAGCCCCTCCAGTTCATTCAACCATTATATATATCTGACCGGTGAGCATGTATTAAGTAGTATCTTTCAGTTTTCCCATCATATTCTGACATCTTACCAGTAGAAGCCTTCTTCCATCGTGTCTCCGATACATTTTATCACCATGTCTCGTCGCACTGTTGTTGTCATCGGCGCCACAGGCTCACAGGTCCGTTGCATGCTTAGCTCTTGCTAAACAGTGCAGTATTCTTCCTCTGACCGCTGATACATTTACAGGGAGGTCCTGTCGCTAGGGAGCTTTTGAAAAGCCCGGACCTGTACCATGTCAGGGCTTTGACGCGCGATCCGAGCAAGCCAGCAGCACAAGAGCTGGCAGAACTTGGGGCAGAAGTTCAGGCGTTTGATCTAAATGCCGGCATCGACGTTCTTCTTCAGGCGTTTACGGGCGCCGATGCTATCTTTGCTATGACAGACTTTTGGGCAACACGGTCAGCCAAGGCAGAAGCTACCCAGGGCCGAACCATTATAGACGCCGCAGCTCAAACCCCTACCGTCCAGCATTTTATTTGGAGCTCGCTCCCTGATCCTGAGAGGGTTTCCGGGAGCATCTTGAAAAACATCCACCACTGGAAGAGCAAGAGTCTAGTTGCAGACTACATACAGCAGCAGTATCCAGAGTTGTGGGGCAAGACTACGGTTGTGCTCTTTCCCAATTATTTTGAGAACTGTCTGTCTCATCCCGAGCGCTACCTCTCCCAGCCTGTTGGTCTACCTCGTTTACCCAATTACCACATATTTGATACTTGACATACAATCTTACTAGGAGATTCTAGGATGCGCAAGGCGTGTATCATATGTACTTGCCGCACAGCCCGTCTACTGTCATGCCGAACGGATCGATCCGTGACACAGGCAAGCTTGTCCGACTGATCCTGGAAGATGGAGCCACTTATTTCACAAAGACCGTGGCTTTCTATAGTGAAGCCATTTCAGAGGCAGAGAAGCAAGCCATGATTGGTAAAAGTAACTACGCCTACCCAACTTTCTATCTGGCGTTACATGACCTGTTGGACTTACGGAGAATATTCCAGAATATGGGTTGCAGACAATGTACCATGTGATAAGTCCCGATGAGCATCAAAAGAAGCTGGAGAGTCAAGGTCTATCTCCTGAGATTGCTCTGGATTATACCGAGCAGCTCTTGATGTTTGAGAAGTTTGGGAATGTGTGTGGTGCCTCAGAATTCATCCAGGCCAAAGAAGTACGTAAAGCCTCCTAAATAAAATTGATCAATACACGGGAACTGATCGACACAACGCAGATTCCAGGTCTTCGCCTTCAGTCCTGGGCGGAGTTCCTAGAAGAGAATGACATTCTTGCAAACATGAGGGCCTCCTGAAGCATATCAGCATGTACTGCAACCATGGTAAGGTCTATATGTCTGGGATATAGATATCAGAAAGCCCTTGCACGAGTTTGATATACTCATATGTCCCAAATGATATATTTCCTGCCCATCCCCTCTCTGCCCGAGGCAAGAGCGGAAGAATATTTATCCGAGGAAACCGATCGGGGGAGAACAGAGACCCTATTTAATGACTTAAAGAGTTCTTAATGAACTGACAACCATGCGTCCTCTTATTTAAGAGTGTATCAGCAGAAGCAGTAGACTGTAAATTTAGCAGAACGGACCTTTTTCCCAAGAGTGGACCACACCCAGCCGGATACCAAGGCAAGCCTGACCGATAAGCCTTGTGAGGATCAGCAGAGGATCCACTAACGAAACTGACTGGTTATACTCGTGTACAGACATGCAAGTAGCACAAAAATAGACCAACCAATAACCACCGTTGCACAGTGCATGGTAATGGACCTTTAGGGGTTTCTTTTGATTTGAAAGGATCAGAAAAGTAACTTTTCATCCGTACCACCTACATGCCGGATACTTGGATTCCCGGACCGGTTCAGCATTCCATTTCCTGCGGTGTAACTGGTTCCTCATGATTCGCATCGTCATGCTCTTCTTCATCTTTCATCATGCCCTTACTTTTCCCAGAGTCCTGCATTGTCCCTACACAGTTGTTATTCTTAGCGGTGCATCATGATCCACCCATCCACTCTGAGTGGCCTGCCTTTCGGAATACGAGAGCCCCAACGCACTTGTCGCCCGCAGATAATGAAAAAGATGGAATACTTGCTGGGCATGATTCACGGGCGGATCCCTTTTACTTCCATCCGCAGGATTGCTTACGGTCGAGGCGCCTGTCATTTGTCCCTCCGTCTGCTCCTGTGGGGTCCCGGCCACAGCCACCAACAATCAATGCCTTAAGTGGAAAAGTGGAACAGGTCAGCGAAGGATGGGCACTGCCCGATGCCATCTGACCCAACGTTTCAGTGCCCTATAAATCCAACCCTGAGCCACATGGGAGTCAGTGATATCCCAAGTGACATCCATTTACCCATCATCACACTATGGCTACCTTCAAACCGCTCCTCCCACCCCGAGCTGTCCCACGCGACCGTGGCGATGGCCCGACTCCCCTGCCCGACTCCGCGAGCTCTTTCTCGCCCATGGTTCGCGACAACCTTACCCTCTCCTCGTGGCTCCTCCTGGGCGGGCTCGTGCAAGGCTGTGCATTTCTCCTGCTTGGTTCCCTCTCCCTGCTTCCGACCGCGGCGATCCTCCTCTACAGAACCATCGACCATCTGCTGATGGCCTGCCACCTGACCCCCAACCGGTACCTGGCAGGATCCATTCCTATCAAGCGCAGTGCTCAGTATCCCCGGCCCGATGGCAACTTTGGCAGTGAACCGGCGGGCGAGTCTATCGTGGTCTTCCATTTGGGTGCACGCTGCCACCATCCTCTCGGGTTGCTCGCTCCAGGCATGAAGGAGTTGGGCGACAGTGCCGATAAGATGCGACGGGACATGCGCGCCAACCCTGTCAAGTACGGTCTATTGGGCTCCTCGCACTGGCTGAAGAGCGACAGTGCAGCGGGTAATGAGTCTATGACCCTCTTCTACCTCCGTGACTACGCTGCTCTCCATCAGTTCGCCCACGATGAGATCCACATGGAAGGGGTGCGCTGGTGGGCTCGCATCGCTAAGGACCATCCGCATCTGGCCATTTACCATGAAACCTACCTGGTGCCCCGCGGAAACTGGGAGAATATCTACATTAATGGGTGGCCGACGGGTCTGGCCGACACTTGGTTTCCCGTGCAGACTCAGGCTGACAAGGAGAAGAATACCGGAGTGGTTGAACAGTGGGTGCGACCGTTGGTTGATGCGCGTGACGGTGTCTTACGGTCGGCTAGTAAGCGGCTGCAGTTGACACGCTTGGAGGGTCGTGAAAAGGAGCACGACGATATGTATAACCAACCTGAGGGGCTGTGATCGACAGCTACAAGATTATCAGCGCAGGAAATCCATGCACCTCTCCTCTCCACTTTGTGATCTCTTCGATTTAGCCCATTTTGTATCGTAATCCCATGATGTGCATTCTATCTGTCTCTCACTGCTTCGCCCGGATCCATAATCCCCCAGGAAGAAACTAAAGCGGACTAACTTCCTTCGAGCCTGCTGCGGTGGTGTTAGTGGCCGCACTAGACGGCGGATGTCTGGATGCCGATCAATCACAATTCAGACGGAATCCGCTGGCCAATCCTCTGTTAGCCATTTTCGTCTTTCTAGGCGTTAATCCTCTTTTCGTACCCCTCGCGTATCGCCACGATTCGGAACAACGCACTTCAACTGAGCCTTCCCGTACATAGGAGCATGGACAATCCCAACACGTTGCTTCCATTTCGTTCAGACTCTACGCGTCGTCGACCTGGCTGCAAGAGATCGAGAACGGGATGTCGCACTTGTCGGTAAGTCTACGAAAATGACCCAAGTCCCCACTCGTCGCTACTGACTTGGGGCAGAGCTCGCCGCGTGAAATGTGACGAAACCCCAGACGCCTGCCACAGATGTACCTCCACGGGTCGCGTATGCGATGGCTACGAGGTGCAGAGACTGCCTTTGGTGAAGAATTCAGGGACCAAGATCAGCGCTGACCTGGGAAGTGGCTTCCGATGGACCATTACCTCCGACGAACGCCGCTGTTTCTCCTACTTCCAACATCATACAGCGCCCACCTTCCGCGAGATGTTTGACTCCGCTCTCTGGCAGCATCTGGTGCTGCAAATGGGTCAGTCGGAACCAGCGGTGTATCATGCGACTGTGGCCCTCAGTGCGATCCACAAAGACTCGGAGACCAGAGGGATGCCCCTGGCTGCCAACTTCCCTAGGAGGAGCCAAGGTCCATGGCTGCGCTTTGCGCAGGAGCAGCTGGGCCGTGCCTTTCAGATTCTCATCCGGCGCCGGGCCTCCCCTGATCCCCGATTGCGCAACGTCACCCTCCTCTGCTGCTTGCTCTTCGTTCTGTCCGATCTGCTGCAGGGACACTACGACAGTGCCTTTACCCATCTCCAGAGTGGCCTGCACATCCTTCGCGAGCTTCAAGCAGAGCGAGAATTGGTGGCACCCACGCCCCGCCAAGACGTAGTGGAACGATGTCTGGTGGCTGCCTTTGCACAGCTGGACATTATTTCCGCTCACTATGGAGTCGGGGGACCTCTGCTATGCATCGATACCTTGCCGACCCAGTGGCAGTCGCGACCGACATCAGCGGTCGGCTTCGCCAACCTGAAGGAAGCTCGTGCTGCCTTCAACCTGGTCACAAGCGCGGCGTATCGCTTTATGATATCAGGTATGGGAATGTCAAAGGAAGAAATCACGCGCAACTACACAATTATTCAATCGAGCCAGCTGCGGGCCCGGTCCCTGGCCTCCCGGTTTTGGCAATCCTTCGAGCCATTCTACCGCAGCTCTTACCATATTCTGGATCGCAAAGAGCAGCGAAGTGCCGAATTGATTCATCTCCAATACCTCGCTCTTATGGTGTCGCTGGACACAACCCCCTTGGCAGGAAACGAAGCTGCCCTGGCTGCCTTCACGCCTGCCCTCGACAAGATTGTTTCCTTTGCTGAGTCAATCATGGCCAGGTTTCCTGAGCGTCCCACCATCAGTATTGACGTGGGCGTTCTTCCACCATTGTACGATGGGGCCATGATTTGTCGGGATTATTGCGTTCGATGGAGAGCTATAAAGCTCCTTCGGGCGTGGCCGCATCGAGAGGGCCCATTTGATTCCAATTGGATTCTCGCCCTGGCGGAGGAGGCACTGCGTCTGGAATTGCTGGACGATCCCGCCATCAGCCTAGAGGAACATGCAGCGTCTAGTATTGTCGACGACGATGAGTTCGCGCCTTGCCGCATGCTGAGGGACCTCAATGAGCGACGGTCGCGGATTAAGCAAGTATTAGCCCAAACGGGAGGCGTGTTGGGCGATGCAGCTTCTCCAGCAGAGTATTTAGGCGCTGTCAAAAGTGTGGCTGGGTGGTCATGCATGCGTGCGTTTAAGGCAAGGTTTCCGGATTCCTAAACCCCTGTTCCGATCTTGGGTAAAGACTGTTGTGGGTGAAGTGTCTCTACATACATCACTCAGCACACCACTCCGTAGTCTACAATATCTACTGTGTATCCATGAAGTAATCATGACAAAGCTCGTATCAACAATCAAGCTCGTATCCTGCAGAGTGCTAGAATGAACGGCTGCTTCCTTCGCCTCAAAACAAGCCCTAGCCCATGACTCGGGAAGCTATGCTGCAGAAGCTAAACTGGCTTAGGCTGTTTTAGTACGATTCAGACTACCGTCGCTACCATTTAGCTGAAGAAAATCCAGTTGGGTGGATATAAGGCTGAAGGCTAGGGTCCTTGGCTCCTCCACTTCGGCTTCCTTCCATCCAACTCGAGTTTTGTGATGACGCGTCCAGGATGGCTGCTAGTCTAGCATCATCACGGAAGCCTATGACTGCGGAAGAAGTATTGCCCACTGGGTGTCTGCTGCCGGTGAACAATCGTCTATATAAGGACATTGCCCACCCAACAAATTCCTTAAAAGTCACTCAGATATACGATTAGCAACAATGAAGGCATCATTCACCACTACTGTCCTCTCTGGCCTTGCTGCCATCGGCAGCGTAGCTGCCAACCCTCTGCGTCCGCTAGGGGACCTTGTCAAGCGCAATCCCGACGGCAACTTCACCCTCTACGCCTACGGACTTACCTCTGAACCCGTCAAGTTATTCTACGCCGATGGTAAGACCACCTCTCACTTTACCACTATCACTGTTGTTAACTGAATCAGGACTGGCCTACTTCGGCACCGCCTCCGACTGGACCTACGGCTCCGTCGTGACTGACATCACCAGTTAGTACCCCCTTCCTTACCCCCTCAAGACCCATTGCAGCACTAACCCCACACAGTGACCTACAGCTCCGACGAAGTCTTCGCCGAAGCTCTCACCGAGGGCGTGACCCTCCCTGATGATACTCTGCTGTACATCCGCCCCAACGCGGACGAGGTCACCGAGGTTGGCTTCACGGGCGATGACACTCCCTCGGATGCCGTAACTGATCAGTGGATCTGGTACGGTGGCTGGATCATGTATGAATCCGACTCTGGGGAGCTGTTTGATACGTTCTATGTCAAGGATACCAATGTCTCGACGGTGTGGCAGCTGTTTTGGGTTCCCGAGGGGGTGTCGAGCAGTGGGTATACGAGTGCAAATGTGCGGGATGTTGCTTGATGTCCCTTTGCTGTACAGTGATTGGGAATGTGGGGGGGATGGGATGCTTAGTACTGAATAACAGTGAATAGATACTAATGTGAGGGGTTCCTTTGGTATTTCCGAAGCAGAAGTTATTATGTTTGTCTAGTATGAAATCCAAATTCTTGCCCACTTCTAGTTTGTGTATTCCGATCAGGAAAGCATGCAATAACTATAGCAGAATCATGACATTCTATATCCAGAACTCCATACCCAAAGCAAATCTATAAGAACATCACAATCTAGAAACATGCCAATTCTAACCACTATTCACTCCTCAGCTCAGTCAATCTCTTCCCAAAGTACCTCTCCACCTTCTTGTTCTCTCCCCCAAGACTACCCGCCATCCCCCTCATCCTCTCCTTAATAGCCCCATACCCCTGCCCAGAAACAATCATACCCAACGCCTCCAAAATCAACTTCTCCACGCCCTGAATTCTCTCCTTCTCAATACACTCCGTATCATGCTCCAGGCGCATCAAAATAGTCCGATCAGAAATCGCACAAAACTCCACCAACAGCGCAAACTTCGACCCCTTCGTATACGTAACCAACGGATCGAGTCCCTCGACCGGTAACTTCGGCGACGAGCGATCATCATGGAAAGTAACCATGACATCCAACAAGGGATGGTTCGGGAAATCAGTCATCTCGGCAGCACCCACCGCCTCAAGCAGCTGGTTCCATGGAATGGCATGCGCAATGGCCGACTGGCTGGACCGTTGGACGGCACGAACAAACGACTTGGTCGATGCGGCGGTCGGATCCCGCGACGCCGAGAACTGAATACGAATAGGGATGGGTTCTAGAAACAATCCGACCGTGTCGAGATCGTCCTGTCCGCGGTTGAAGTATGGTCCGCCCAGGACGACGTCCGTGTCGTCGCGATGAGACTGCAGGGCTAGTGCCACCGAGGCTAGTGCTAGCTGATGCAGCGTGACGCTGTTCGTCTCGGTGTATTGAATGGCCTGTGTGGCGAGACTCTGGTTTAGTCGGACGAGGTGTGTCTGCCCGCCGTAGCTGGAGCGGTGCGTCAGGTTGGGGATGCTGTATAGGGCTTCCCGCTGGACGGTGGTGTTGCCGAGATATTGCGCCCACCAGTCGCGCTCGTTGGCGGTCGCTTGGGTGCTCCATTGCGTCGTCTCGTGGTAGTTCCGCTTCACGGGGCCGAGGCCATCGCCGCGGTAGAGACGGACCACTTCGCCCAGAATGACCTGTAGGGTGGTGAGGTCGGCGATGAGATGGCTCATGGCGACGAGCATCATTGACTTAGAGACGATGACTCTGATTGGGTGCTGGCGATCAGGGTGGAAGGGTCTGTTGGCTTCGCGCCAGAGGTTGAAGCCGTGGACGCGCATGACCTGCGGACAGTAGCGAGCATAGGTGCGACGGGGTCCCTTGCCGCGGTAGTCGAGGTGCGAGCGACTGCGGAAGATGTCGTGGCGGGCGAGCACGGCGTTCCAGCAGGCGATGAGGTGCTCGCTGTCTACCTTGGTGCTGTCAATCTTGCAGGCGAAGGTGACGTTGAAGGCGGACGTGCCGAGTTGGAGCTGGTACTTCTCCAGCCATTCCCGCTCAATGGGGGAGACGCGGTTGCGACCGAGGGGTTTGATGGTCGATGCATCTGTAGAGGAGATCTGGGAGACGAGGCCGTCCACCGTCTGGGCCAGCTCGGAGAGGTTCGCGGCCTGGATGATGCGTGGGACGGGCACCTTGACCCCGAAGGTCTGGGAGACTCTGCTGGCGAGACGCAGCTGCATGACGGAGTGGCCGCCCAGCTCGACGAAGTTGGATTCCGGGGTGAGGGCATCGCTGTCTGAGCCCAGCGAGAGGAGATCCTTCCACAACTCGGCAAGAGAGTGCTCCGTCTTGCTGGAGAGGGTGCGCTTGGCGGCTGGTTGAGCTACCACTGTGCACTGGTTGGCGATCTCCTTGTAGTCGAGCTTGCCGGCAGGCGTCATGGGGAACTTGTCGACAACCATAATGCGACGGGGCATGGCGTGCACCGGCAGCACCTGGGACATACGCTGGCGGACATCGGTGACCTTGAGGGTCTCTGGCTGGATCATGGCAACGAGGTAATCGTCCTTGGGGCAAATAGCGACAGCGGTGGACTCAGGAATAGCAGTGGCCACGCGGATTTCCAGATCATTCAGATCAGTGCGGTAGCCACGCAGCTTGATCTGACGATCATTGCGACCGAGACATTCGACCTGACCGAGACGGTTGAAGTAGCCACGGTCTCCAGTGCGGTACATCTTCTCGCCTGGACGTGCAACGATGTTGTCGGGCAGGAACCGCTCCGCGTTCAACTCAGGACGACCGATGTAGCCGTTGGCTACCTGCACACCAGCGCAGTAGATCTCGCCGACCACTCCGGGAGGGAGAAGCTGTCCATTCTGGCCGAGGATGTAGATGCGCGTGGTGGCGTTAGGTCCGCCGATGGTGACGGGCTGGCCGGGAAGTAGACGTTGGATGGTGGCACCGCAGGTGGCTTCGGTAGGGCCGTACATGTTGTAGAGGGTTGTGGTGCTGGACCAGACGTCGTTGACGTACTGTGGAACGGGTTCGCCGACCAGGTAGACAGTGCGCAGCTCGGGGAACTGCTCAGGCAGGAGGATCTTGGCCACCGAGGGGGTCAGGATGGCAGCGTTGCTCTTCTTCAGGTGCGCAAAGGTGTCGGCACCATCAGCCAGTACTAGAGTAGCGCCGTAGCAGAGAGCCGAGAAGATCTCGTGGATGCTGCCGTCAAAGGCGGGCGACATGAGCTGGGAGATACGCTGGCCAGGACCGGCGAAGAGTCGGACCTCGAGGTCTTTCTGGAAGGCTACGAGACCGGCGTGGTGGCACATTACTCCCTTCGGCTTACCGGTCGAGCCGGAGGTGAAGCACAGATAGGCGTTGTCTTCGGGCTGAGGGGCGGAGCGGTGGTGGGGAGTGAAGTTGTCGGGGATACTGGCGATCAGTTCCTCGACGGAGTAGCACAGGTTACATGCTTCGGGAGCAAGATGCTTCTGGGACGTGGCAGGCGTGAGGTACAACTTCCCACCGGCTGTCTGAAAGTTGGTGTTGCGGATGTGGTCGGGCAGACCAGGGTCCTGGGCAGAGTAGACGCCACCAGCCTTGAGAATGCCGTAGATAGAAACGATCCAGTTGATGGACCGGTCGGCCAAGACGCAGACGACTTCGCCAGGTTGAATCTGCAAGTTTGCAGCCAGGATGCTGGCCTGTCGATCCATCTCCGCGTATGTCAACTGAGTGCCAGCCTTTTCCACAGCGATGCCGTTGGGAGTCTCGCGGACAGCGCGTTCGAAGAGCGTGACGAGGTCGTCGTGGATGGAGCACAAGGAGGTCGAGTCAGTCTGGCAGTTCCCCATCTGCATGAGGGTCTCCTTGCAGTTGTCGGTCAGGATGTTCTTCATGCAGCCCTCCACGGTCTGCTCAGACAAAAGCAGATTCAGTGCATGATGGAAGTGGTCTGCAAGCATCTGAATGTCCTCACGATGGAACTGTTGTGGCCGGAAGCACAAACGCAGAGTGCCAGTGTAAGTCGTGTAGATCGACAGCGGAGTGTCGGGCACGACGCGGAACCATGACTCGTTCACGGGTCGGACTGCGTGACTGTCAGATGCCTGCATTTCGAACTCCATCGCCAGCGCAGAGGTGAAGTTGCGGGTGTATCCGTCATCCGGGACGGAACTCTGTACTGATGCCAGCTGGACTGAGTGGGCAAACACCGCACGGAGATACTCCGCAGTCGACAATTTGCGATCGATGGACACATGGAAGGGCAGGACGTTGATCAGCGGCCCAATGGTATCCTCAATGCCTGCGATAGGCAGGTTACGACCAGCCAGGACGGTGCCAAACACAACAGAGTCAGAGTCGGTATACAGAGAGAGTGCCATGGCCCAGGCAGCGTGATACCAGGCAGACAGGGAGACACCAATTTGACGAGCACGAGTGGAGATCTCTTCCAGGGGAACATTGAAAGTGACATTGTCGATACCCGCAGGCTTCTCTTCACGGACTGGAGGAAGAACGAGTTCCCCGGCAGGCTGGGGATGCTTCTCCCGCTGCTGGGCCCAGAATTGCTGATGATTTTGGCGGTGTTCCTGCTGGAAGGCACGAAGTCGGTTGGCCACCTCGCTGAATGGGGCACCGGCTGTGATAGCACGACCGTTGATGACATCGCGGACTTTGCCATAGACAAGCTGACCCGACATGCCGTCGACAAAGGCGTGGTGGACACGCCAGATGACCGTGCTGATGCCTGCTGAAGGCAATGTCACAACCTCAAATGCACACTGAATAGTATCCGGGTGAACGTCCCTCGCGATGGCAGCATCATAGGCTTCCTGCGAGTCGACCACGGTTTCCCTCCATGTGAAAGGTGCCGACGGTGTTTCATGGCAGGCATCGGACTCGAACGACATGCGGAAGATGGGCTCGGTCTGGATGACAGCCTGCCAGGCGGCTTTGATAACAGGCAGGTGGGCCGTCTGGTATGTTTCGAAGAAGTTGATCATGTTGGAACCCGGGGTCGTTTCGTGGCTGTGCAGAAATGACATCTGCATTTCTGTCAGGGCAGATGCTGTGTTGCTGCGAGGCACATCCTTCTGGACAGGGGCTGACTGTGTCTGGGGTGTTGCAGGTTGGTAAACGACAGGCACATGGGTCGTTACTGAACCCTCAACAACGGCGGAAGCCACGAGCTCGGCCATGCTGCTGCTCAGGAGAATAGACTCCATAGTCAAGGCAATACCGTCGCGCTTACATGCGGAGGCCAGCCCCAATGCAAGCAATGAATGGCCACCCAGGTTGACGAAGCTGGACTCCAGGTCCACGCTCTCAAGGGGAAGTTGAAGAAGCCGGGCGGCATGGGAGATGATGATCTGTTGGGACTGCATGATGCTGAACGATTGCTAAACAAGAAAGATGCTAATGATACAAGTCCTCAAGTGGTGTGTAATCTTAGG